TTCTTCTTTATATATTTTAAATTAATAATATTATAAATAAAATTTTTAATATTAATTATAATACAGGTATTAGCTATTCAGTTAATAATAATTTTTAAAAATAATAATTTAAAGTTTATATATTTCTTTTTAAAAATCTTTTATTAAAAATAATTTTTTTTATTTAAAAATTTTTATTTATAATTTTATATAAAAACTATTTTTTTTTTTAGTTCTTATCTTGCTTATTATTTATAATTTTTTTTATTAAATATTTTTTATATTTTATAACAGCTACTTAGACTAAAAATTAGAATATAAATTTTTAATAATAATTTTAAATTAGATATTTATTTTTTTTATATTAAAAATAAAGATCTATTTTTTTTCTTTATTATAATTTTTTAATTAAGATTTATTTAATAAAATAAGAATTATATTAGTTTAAATTTTTAAATTAAACTGTGTATTTCTATTTTTTATTATTTATTATTAAAATAATATATTTCTAATTTATAATATTTTTTATATTACTTATTAAAGTTATACAGAAGTTATAAATCTGTATATATTATTAATAATTTTAATATTTTTTTTTAAATATTATTTATTTTATATTATAATTATATTATTAAAGTTAATTATAATATTTTTTATAAAAGAGATTTTTTTCTAGACTAATAATAGCTTATAATAATATATAATTAATTAAATTTTTTAATATTATAATTTTAAAAATATTTTTTTATATTATACTACCTGCCTGGATTAAAATAATATTAAAATTTTTTAAAAAATTTTTAAAACTTTTATTATTCTATCAGAGAAAGTATAATTTTTTTAAAATTTTTATTTTTTAATTTTTATTTTTATAGATTTTATCCAGTTTTTTTATTATCTTTTTATAAATAATTATATTATTTATATTTTAATATTATAATAAGATTTTTCTTTCTATATTTTTTTTTAGTTATTTAAATATATAAGCCACCCGGGATATATTATCTAAATATATAATTAAATTTATAAAAAATTTAAATTATAAATATATTTTAAATCTAGAATAATTCTTTTTATTTTATTTATTAAAAAATTTAATTTTTAAATATATAAATTTTAATTACAAGACTGTGTACAGAGAGGAAGAGATAATAATATTATAAAAAATATTATTTATAATTTAAATATTAATAATATTTTATAATTTTATAATATATTAATTTAGCTGTTTATATTCATTTTATTAAATTTATTAATAATAATTTTATTATTTTATTATTTATTATTCAGTCTCCTCTAATTTATTAATAAGATTAATAAGAAATTATGACTATATTATATTATTTATTATTTTTTTATTTTATTTTATTTTATTTTATTATATTTTATTAGTTATACAGTCAGATTCTGTATTATAGATTTATCTAAAAAACTATTTTTAATATTAAAAGTTATTTCTTAATTCTAAGAGTATATTACTTATTAAATAAGAAGAAATAACTATTATTTAGAACAGGGCCTTGAAGATCCTGAGATTTTATATTCTGTATTTAGTCAGCAGGCGGCAACAAGGCTGGTTAGCCGAGTTCTCTAGTAGGGGCTTGTCCTGTAACATATATTAATTAATAAATAAATAATATAAGAAATAATAAAAAACACGTGAAATAGCTATAAAAATAAATAGAATAATAATATATCATTAAAGAAATAATAACCATAAAATAAAAGAAAAAAAATAATAGAATTTTTTATTTATATTTTCTTCTAGTAAACCTATTTATATAAATATAATTAAATACTGGTAAAGCTATACAGAAATAACATATAATCATATTTTTATTATATATTCCATCAGATTCTTATTTTTTATTTTTAAATTTTTATTATTTTTAAATTAGAAATATATAAGATTATTTCTAATCTATAAACCAGGTGGCTCGTCTCAGAAAAAAATTATATATAATAAAATAAAAAAATTAGAAATAAAGTTATCAAAATAATATATTATAATAATTATAATAATCATGAGATTATTAATAATAATTTTATATTTTTCTGATATCTATAAGATATTGATTTCTTTATAAAAGACTACTAATCTTTGAAGAATTAATTTATTTTATGAATATACTATCTTTGTCATTATTAAATAAATCTCTAGTATTAATAGCTGATTCCTTACCTAGTTGACAGGCTTTCTACACTGACAAGTAGATCCTATCACACTATCTACTGGTGCTTGCTGAATGTTCCACTTTTAACATCACTCCTTAAGGCGCACTAAGAATAAATTCGGACATCAGTCTTAGGTTCGCACGGGCTGGCGTCTCAACACTAGGTGTGTTTCCGGGGATAAGTAATCAGTCTAGGGTAACTAGTTAGATATTAGTTGCTACTATGATGTAAGCCCAACATCAACACATCTCCAACAACGCCCCTTAACAGCCTTGCTCCTGTTTCCTATCATAAGGATCAAAACTAGAATTTAAAGAACATATATGACAAGGAGATAAAACTATTTTCAATAAACTAAATTACATAAGTCTGCTCGAGGCAAGGGATATAGTCCAATCCTAGCCATGACACCCCTCAGCTAGTCAATCGACCCAAAAGAATAAAACTTGAATTAAAATCCATATCTCTATATTAGCAAGTGTAAGTCATAAAATGATGTATCACGTCGTCGATAACCATGGTCAAGTCCCGCCGAATGGCCGTGTCGCCAGAGAGCCCATAAGGACCTGAGACATGGCCCATACAGGTCACCTTTAAATCAGGCATTGCAAAGACTGGAATATCACTGAGCCTTCTTGGTATCCTTCACAGACTTGTTTTCCCTTCTCCTCTTGATAGCCTCCGGGGAGTATTCGGTGTCCAGAAGATAATCCCACCACCTGAAGCTGCTGGAATAATTTCCTACAAACTTCTCGTGATGGAGATCATGGTGGTCTGCGCCAGCCCAGAAAGGGAGGAAGTGATGAAGACTCCATGGAAACTCATAGCCACTGTGCGCATCAATGGCCTGGAAAAGCCGCAAGACGATCCAGATGTACATCGTAAAAATATGCAGATCGCCGGTTACTGCACACCATAGAATTGGGCAACCAACAGTACCAAATCCAAGAATCATGACTTCAATTGGAGAAGCATATTCAGCTGCCATACCGAAAGGTGCGGAATATTGATGGTGAATCTTGTGGATGGCTTTATACAGTGGACCCCAATGGAGAGCACGGTGGGAAAAGTAATGCCACGTGTCTTCCAGGACAAAGAATATCGCTATTTGATAAGCCATGGTCCACAAAGAGGGAAAAGGTACAGAGGTAGAGAGGCCAAAAAACTGGGCCATCGGGTGGAAAAGCCTAGAGCTGTTAGTAACGCCATCACAAATGGCCCATAGGAAGATCAAGTATTTCTCACCATATTTGTGGCAGCTCTACGGTAAAATGGCTGAGTAGCACAAATCTAGCACAATCCCATTGCTCTCGTAAGGATGGTATCTTGCTCTGTAACCCAGTTAGAACAATGGCAAGTAAGCTTCGGTGATCCTGAGCCTCACGCTTTGAATCTTGTAGTTCTTGAACAAACCGAGAGTGTCTATAAAGATCCAAGGGAGGGAACGCCCGAAATATACAATTTCGTGCATTACAAAAGACATGATTCCAGTTGCAAGAACGTCATTTTGCATCCAGGCATACCATGCTGTCCATAGTCTTTCGACCACGTTCAGATGAGTATTGTATTTGGAGATTTCTTCAAACTGGCCCCAGTATGATTCTGGCGTAGACAGCAAGGTGGAATTCCTATGTCCTGTAAGAACTCATATATAAAACGGGTGGTACATCAAAAGCTGCTCACATTGTACAGGGACGCAGGCCGGCTTTTGCCCTTGGCACTTTTCTTCTCAACTCTCCTTCAATAAACCCTCGCTATCAGAGCGAGAATACGTAGACGACAGAGGTATGTGAGGTTTAGAGAGTCGTGTTTATGCGATTGGCATATGGCCAATGTTATAAACGAGGATAAACGTGTTGCAGCGACAAATAAGTAGTTGTTAATGAATTGTTGCCTGTGAGAGGTTGGCTGGTATTTCAGGAACACTTGTGGAAGAAGCGCGCGACCAGGACAGCCGCTCCCGAGGTGGCGAGACCTTTTCCCCCTGGCCTTGGACCTTTCTGGCACCACTGGCTAGCCGACTGGGACCGATATTAGTTAGCTCCACTTGCTTGGAAACTAGTCTGTATTCCTTGGTAGATACGTTAGCATGTTCACTACTTATTATTATCTAATTAAATTATTATTCCTACCCCTAGCAGCTAATCAAAGCGACCTCCTCACTGCACTGTATAGAGCATTTGCTTTGTAGATATTGGTGGACTGGATTAGATCTAGGCAGCACCCGGGTAGGTTAATGAGACATACTCTCCGTGCACTATTTTAACATGTACATACACCTGCCCTTCTGAATGGAGGCAACATGGTTCGGGAGATTTCAGACAGGGGGCCAGGGGCCAGATTACTAAGCCATAACCAGTGGCCCGAGGACTACAAAGCGAAGGGCGTGCTGAGCACAACTTTCATATCACACAAATATTACTTGTATTATAGTCACTGCCGTGTCCGGTGTTCATTGTACTTTTGTATAGATTTCCCAATATGTTCAGCCCTTCGCAGACGGATGTTTTTTTCTTGATTGGCCTTATTTATCTCCTACCTCAAGCTTGACTCGCTGTGAGTTCAATCGCCTTACGATAGATGTAGTAGCAATTCAGGTAATGCTCAGAACACCGTGTTACCCTGCCATAATCCACCAACTGATACATTTGATTATATCATCTGGTCTGAAGAGAGAAGAGAGTACATGATGCAAAGGGTGAAAGTGGGCTTGGTGTTTGCATGATTTGCTTGGTGCGCATGACGCCATTATTCTTAAACCCGAACTTCTTGAGTAGTATTCCTTCTGGTTATTCCACTTACTTTTCATTGTTCGCCCTACCCTGCCGTTTGCTTCACCATTCGCAATGTATGCGATAAATAAGTAAGTTACTCAGTCGTATTGTCAGCATGAGGGGAGTATTGACACTGTCACCGTAGGGCATACGGTCTGGATGCACATTTTGATAAACTGTGGCGGCAAATAAGCGATAATGCCTATCCGAAATCGCTAGACGTCTACAAACACGCAAGCCAAGCAAAATACCCAATTGAGAATGTCGCGAAACTGGAGAAGCTCATGGACTCACTTTCCGTGACATCCAAGTCTCAACCGTTACTGCAGACGGAAAGGCTTTTGAAAATAATTGCCGAATACCCCGATGATGTGCTCAATGCTGATCCCACGCTGCCAGACGTGAATGTTTTCATGGCACACGTCGTAGACACTTCTTGGCTCGTAGCTGCTAAGGCTGCAGTCCAGACTCTCGGAGTTATACTGAATACGCTATCAGATGATGTACTCTCCCTCAATGACGAGATGCTCTATTGGGATAGTGTTTTGGAGTCCCCCTGGTCACTTGGGCTCTATATGCTCCAAACCTCGCCAGTGGTGCTTTGGAACAGATCCCGAAAAGTCTGGCACCATGCTAACTCCATGAACAATTCCCGGACGTCCGGTCAACCCAGCTGGATGCAATTTTACGAATCTGTTCGTCAGTGTGTCCTTCCCCAAAGTTTGCATTTTTGGCGGGGAAGGATGTTATCACCACTCTCAACAGCGAAGTCAGATGTACGGCAGAAACGGAAGACATTGAGTTCATTGAAAGATATGAATGCTTGTAGCATAGGGATCCTCATAAGAAACAGTTTCTCATGCGCAGTTGGCGACAATTTTACAGGTGACAATAGCCATGGTATGTTCACTGAGAGCTGGCAGATCAACGTCCTTGAGAGTGTGGCCTTGATGAAATTGCTTCTCGAAGATGGTGAAAAGGCAAGTGTCCCGTGGAATCACGAAGAGCACATAAACATGGCGATCAATCAAGAAGTCACGTCGATGCGCATGCATTACTGCAGTGATCTATCATCTGAGGGTCCGAGATTTGTCATGAACCAATTGGGCTACATACTTGAACAGCTTCTACCGGCCTATGCCAAAGCTTCAGCCACAACAATTAACAACTCTGGACGCCCCCATTACCTAGTACGTTTTTGGTTACCTTTAACCCTTGCACTATTATCAACAAGTACATCACTGGAGCTGTTACGGAATAGGCGCCATGAGCTCTTGGAATGGATTGCCAATTTCGGTTCAACCACTATCGAATTTTGGAACAACTGGGTTGTAGACCCACTCCGCAGGCTTGTCGGCACTATAAGACATGATGAAAAGAGTGAAATTGCATTGATGAGTAGAAACAGCTTGGAAGCCGATCGAGCGAGTTTGGAAAGAATGGTTGTGGACTTCGTTCTTGATCGTTGTGAACCGAACAAGAATGACTATGATGCTTTTGATACCCATGTCATTGCTGCTAAAGTCCGGGAGGGTGACTTGACACCAGTGCTGAAAGCATATGAAAATGACCTACGTAGTCCTTTTGTCGGGACCATCAAGGGTGATTTGGTGCGAGCACTTCTAATACAGATACAGAAAACAAAAGTAGATGTTGAAATCGCGATAGGGGGAATTGACGCTCTGTTGAAAAGCCAAGAGCTGGTTTTTGGGTACGACTTCCGGCCAAGAATACCAGAGTAGCCGTTGACTTTCTATAGGTTTATTGGACTAACCCCAGGCTTAATGGTGTCATTTGCGACTCTTCGTTGGCTTTACGGCTTGCTGGGCAGTCGAAGGGGCTTCCGAATGGGTAAGCAGCAGGACGAACTGAGGCATGCTTTGCGGTAAGTTCTGGCCTAGTCCCAAAGAACAATATGATTTAGGCCTAATATATCGCTGTAGGATTGTACATCGGACTTTAACATCGTCTGCCTCCACTCCTGGCAATGCGCTGGCATTTAGAGACTATGGTCTCCTCATATGCAACGCCGAAGTCCTACTTTCAAAGGCGCGGATCATACTGAAAGGCGCAGATCTCCGTTCATTCCAGGAAGACATCAATGAATTAGTCGAGCGAGATACGATTGACCGGCAACTCAAGGTTGTTGAACGAATGGGCTGGGTCTACTCAAAATGGATTTGATGCAATCCGTTATGCTCACTCTTTTGGTGGAAAACATGTTTCATGCCTTTTGACTTTGGCGGCTGACAATATTATCGACAAGTATTACTGTATTATCTCTTACGTTCTGTCGTAGACGTATTTTCGAATAATGATAGAATATTGTGGTGGTCCAATCTACACCAAGCTTATGTACAAGGAAGCTCATTTCTACACCTTGGTATATCTCGGACAATCCTAGTGTAAACCGGGTGAAATGACGTGTTCGATGTTAGTGACCATTTCAATACCCAAGGATATGATCAAGGCTACGGGGTATTGATGCTATATCTTCAAGTAATACTCTTGATTTTATTATTGTTTTTGTCTATCGTGTTTGGAACATCTGACTGGAGCCACAAATGAACAGTAGCTGTCTTAAAGTGGTATAAAAGCTGATAGTTAAATACTTTCATCTGTGGGGTGCGCTTGGGTAGACCGGACGATACTAGGCGATTACACAAGTGCCCGGGATACTACTCCGAACATGTACTCACTGTACGTGCATATACTGCTGCCAGCTTCCTAATAAACCTTGGAAGGAAATCAGTTCCCAAAGATAAGTCGTGCTACTGTTGTCTATCGAATGAAATTATTCCCCCGGCAACTTTCCGAAATTCAACGTGTCCAACGTCGCCGAGTCTTACTTCAACAAAAGGTCTCCGATACAACACCTGTCTTGTCCCGTCCCGTCCCCTGACCCCATTCTCCGGACCGGCTCCTGGTTCCGTGGAAGATCCTGAATCCAGCACCTGCCACTATTCGAAGACTTGAGTTCTCTTACAGTCGGTATTATTGACGGAGACAAGCAGACAAATTAAGTGAAGTGAAATCTTGATTCCAGCCAAACACAAACTTGTCGAGAAACCATAAGCGGAATCGGAAGGGATAGGAGAAAAGAGAGGGGGCACGCAAGACCAACAGAGGAGAGGGGAGAATAACGTCAAACCCAACTAAGACGAATATCGAGTAGGGATTAGCACAACGCAGAACATAAACTCACTATCACGGCTTTTATCCCTCGCTCTCTGTATACCTCAAGTCTGCAACAACAAGATGGCTGGTACAAGGAACTACGACTTCCTGGTGAGTATTGATTAATGCCCCAAGAAATCAATAAGCTAAATATCGGTCTCTGTAGATCAAGTTACTGCTGATTGGTGACTCTGGGGTCGGAAAGTCATGCTGTCTATTGCGATTCAGTGAAGACTCGTTCACTCCGTCGTTCATTACTACCATCGGAATCGACTTCAAGATACGTACCATCGAGTTGGACGGTAAACGCGTAAAGCTCCAGATATGGGACACAGCTGGGCAAGAGCGATTTAGAACTATCACTACCGCATACTACAGAGGAGCTATGGGCATACTTCTTGTATACGATGTTACCGACGAAAGATCATTTCAAAGTGAGAAACGCTTTCCTTAAACCCGAGGTGGATCATGAGATAATTTGATGCTAATGCCCAATCGCCTTACTTAGACATTCGCACTTGGTTCTCAAATGTTGAGCAACATGCGAGCGAAGGCGTTCACAAGATCCTTATTGGCAACAAATGTGATTGGGAAGAGAAGAGAGCTGTGTCAACTGAGCAAGGGCAGCAATTGGCCAATGAGCTGGGAATACCATTCCTTGAAGTATCAGCTAAGAACAACATCAACATCGAGAAAGCATTTTATGATCTCGCATCCGATATCAAGAAAGGAATGGATACGTCGAAGTCCGAACAGGTCGGCTCCCAGGGCGTGAGCATAGACCAGCAAGGTTCTGGGTTGAACGGCAACGCGGGTGGGAAATGCTGTTGATTTGTTAGTACACTCTCGTTTGGTCTTCGGGTTATCTTTTTCCATTATGACTCTATGTCTTTGCGTGTTACAGGTTTGTGTGCCATGGCTTCAATACACCATTATGTTCACGGTTCGAATAGATGCTGGGAAGCTAATTGGCCGATTCTGCTCCTAACCCATGTATGTTGATAGTGAAGGCAGGGGCTTATGGTTTTTGTGAATGCCTTCATTCTTCTCTCTGTTCTGTCTTGGGTCGTCATCCATTTACTGCGATCGAATTTTCCCAGGTGGCGTTTCTCTGTTGTATTCATTACTGTGCAAGTGAAATTAGGTATAGCATAAACAGTCTTTTGCAAGTGCGGTATACATCACCCGCCAGCATCTCCTAATAAACATGAGGAAACTTGGGGCATGTCCGTATCTGAATGGTCTTGGCAAAAGTTGACTGCAGCCGGAGACAATCATGATGGTGGTCGTACTATAAATTGAAGATCGTCGAATAGGGATAGCACCGAGGTATTGAGCATCACCACACTAGGAGCTTTGATAAAAAACGCGGGCCAGAAAAAAGATGTTCCTGGAGGATCATGGTCTAAACTAACCAAAGATGATGGTGTATAAGCTACTTGGATAGGTAGAAGGAAGAATGCATGAAGTTCGTCGGTAATGTGCACTTCTGTGAGAGTTAGTCTTCTCTGTACGGTTTGAACACATCTCATTCAGTAACTTAATATAGCACTGACACTAGCACTGGCATTGTCATTCTCTCATTGTGCCGGAAAGAAGTTACTATCGAGTACTCAGAAACATTTGCGGCCGGTATAGTAGACCATGATGTTAATATTGTATCTTCTGCTCCTCTCAAAGTGGGGCTGTGTGGATATCCATTTGAGATGGCCCATTATTTGTGAACGAACACTTTACGGAGTACAGATTTTGTTCGGAACCCTGTTTTCTCCATCCTTTGTCTTTCTACATCGTATGAATCAGTCAAGGATAGCAGCAATAGAAAAGAGGGAGATTTCCTGAAAGAGCCTTCCAAATGCTTGTGTTGGTTTTCCCTTTATCGGACTTTTAATCCTTCTTTTCGATCCCGCTTTTCTCAATTCAGTATACGCGCTCAGCAGCCAGTTTACTTACGCCTTTCTCGGATCACCTATCTGTAAGTCAAGGCCGTCACAATGTTCCAACAAGTCAAATTTATCGTTTCCGGTGCCTAGGATTTGCTTACAAAAAAAATCATTATGCAGGTCATGATACTGTAGAGAGCAGGTGTACTCAGCTGCAGTAGTGGGAACGCGGGACACTAGGCGTTACTTTTGGAGGGGCCTTCAGCTACCGCTAAAAAAAAAATGTCCGAGACTCGAGCCTTCACAGTTCGACCGCTGTCCAAACAAACAAGAACTGATCATAGAGATGCCTTTCGCGTTTATCTCTCCTCGTCGTCCCTGGCTTTTCTGAAGCTCAGAGCTGGAGATGTGTGCAACATTAGTCTCGCCGACGGTCCATCGAGAACGGCAATAGCTTGGAACGCGACCGAGAACATTCAGAATACGGTTGTACAGACCTCAAGAACTCTTCAGGAATGTTATGGATTCAAAATTGGGGAGAAGATTACAATATGCAAGGTCGATGGGCCCCTGAATAAGATCGACAAAGTCTCCGTTATAGAGTGTTCAGATAGTGATAGGATTGCAAGATACGGCGCGATTCCACCCTCTGACATAATCCACTGGTCATGGTCCCTGGAGTTTCCTCTTCTGAAATGCGATGGCATTACTGTTGGCCTAGTATTTGAGGTAGAGCTTAGGGGCCAACGCCGGAGCTTCAGAGTGGCAGATATCTCAGGTGAAAATGGAAGTACTACCTGTACTCTCTTCAGGTTCGCCGAAACCAGCGAGATCATAATGGGCGAAGATCTTAAGAAACCTCTAGAGCGCGGAACTTCCAATATCCAAGTGCGGCCGACTGGGCTGGGAGGGATGGACCGGCAAATCGAGAGTATCAATGAAAGTCTTGCTGACTTTAACCCTGGTCTAGTCAATCTAGTAATGCCTTCATTCTATGAACACAGTCGAGGCATTCTTCTTTATGGTCCGAAGGGAACAGGTAAGACGGCGCTTCTGGAACAGATTAAAGCAGCAGGGTGGAGGCAAACATTCCATATTGGGTCCTCAGCCTTTGGCCGCAATATCGGGGATGCCGAATCCAAGATGCGCAATATATTCCAAGAAGCAATGCGTTCTCAACCCAGTGCAATCCTGATTGACCAGGTGGAGTTCATTGCGCCTAGACGGACATCGCTCGATAGCCAGTCGTTGGCATCGGTTCTATGCGAATGCATTGACGCTACAAAGAATGCATTCGTTTTGATTGTGGCTGCAACTCGTCATCCCAATGATGTCGATGATGCCCTGAGGACACCGCATCGACTAGCAACTGAGATTGAACTGCATATTCCGACAGCACAGGATCGAGCCAAAATATTGCGTGCTATATGTGGAACCCCATCCCCGGCATTGAGCGATACCCTCATAGACTTGATAGCGGAGAAAACCCATGGTTACGTGGGTGCCGATCTCTTCGCTTTGCTTCAGTTGATTAGTCGCAAGGCACGACAAAGACAGATGTTGGATCCTGAGTTTAATTTTGGTGACAAACGCATACCTGCCGATAATGCTGTTGAAGGTCCGGCCACTCCTGAAACAGGAACAGCTATACATATCAAGGACGTTGATGTCCTATCAGCCCTACAGGAAACTCGACCTACTGCTATGCGGGAAGTGTTCTTGGAGACGCCCAAGGTCAGGTGGTCGGACATTGGTGGGCAACACGAAATTAAGAGACGTTTGCAGAAAGCAGTGGAGCGTCCATTGAAGGTAAGCGCACACCTTTAAATTGTGTTGTTGCAGTTCTGACAAGGCCAAGCATCCCGAGCGAATGAGGAGGCTTAATTTGACCAGCAAGAAAGGTGTACTTCTTTACGGGCCACCTGGATGCTCTAAGACGTTGACGGTTAAAGCATTAGCCACGGAGGCAGGGCTGAACTTCCTGGCAGTCAAGGGAGCCGAGATCCTAAGCATGTACGTCGGAGAATCTGAACGAGCATTAAGAGAAATTTTTCGAAAAGCTCGTTCTGCAAGGCCCAGCATCATATTCTTTGATGAGATAGACGCTATCGCCTCGAAACGTGGCACTTCATCACAAGGCGGGGTTAATGTTCTTACAACTCTTCTCAATGAAATGGATGGCATCGAGGAGCTTAAAAGTGTCCTAGTCATCGCCGCCACAAACAAACCTGAAGTGATAGACCCGGCGTTGATGCGCCCCGGTCGATTGGACAATATACTTTACATAGGACCTCCCGACTACGAAGCGCGGAAGGAGATTTTGGACATATGGTTCCGCAAATCCGTCATTAACCCGGAAGTTGAGGTGAACGTGTTGGCCATGAAAACTGACGGGTATTCAGGGGCTGAGATCGTGAGCATATGTGAGACAGCCGGTGATGCTGCGTTGGATGCAGAAGAGGAGACCGGCGAAGCGCAAGATATCCGATGGGAGCATTTCGAGTATGCGCTTAAGCAGGTGAAGAGACAAATAACGGCTGATGTTGTTGAAGCGTACGAACAGTGGGGTGACTCTGTTGACATATGAGCACAATTGTCTCTATATAGAAACTATATAACGATGCGATCATTCCGACTTGGAAGTAATAAACCAATCTTCAAGCATGGAGCTGCTGTCAATTGACTGGGTACCTTGTTCAACATGTGGGTTCTCTTATTCTTAGACGAAAAGGAAAGAAACCAAGACCGAGAAAGTAGAAGAAAGAGAAAGAGAAAGAGAAAAAAGAAAACGGGAAAGAAAGAAAATGAATGATATTTTAGCATTGGTTCTTGATGTGCAGGGGATTAGGATAACAAACATGGGACCCGCCTATCGTGCGGATAGCAAACCTACCTGGCTCTGACCTTCATACATGACACAACAAGGTGCCAATTACTCTGCAACTTTTGATCCGTCTTGGGTAACCCCACTCCATACCAACCAGACCTTCGATGCGTCTCGCTCCCTTGATATCTCGCTTACCCAGACTTATTTCTTGCTACAATCTGTTCAGCTTGCCCTTGGTGGTTTCCTAGAAAGCTCCCTCCACCAAGTGGATCCTGTAGGATGCCAGAAGAATACACTCGGGGCCGCTCTCGTGGCCGTTTGCCATCCTCGGAATTTGATCGGGCCCCATCCTTGCAGCGTTCTTTGTCCCCTCGCTCAGAATCGAGATTCAACACCACACCCCGGAGGCGTTCTGTGGAGCGTGGTGCTGTTCGCCGCAATGGTCACCGTTCCAGAAGCTGGTCGCGGTCACCGTCGCACAACAGAGCGCTATCCCGTAGTCGAAGCCGAAGCCGAAGCTCAGCTCCCAGACGTTACAGAAAGAAAGACTTCAGTCGGACCCCGAGTCCCTCTGCCGATGCTTCAAGAAGCTCAAAGGTCGGTTGCGCTTGCATCCATCCCAGTCTGTAGGTTTTATGCTGGAACTAACGGAAATCAAAGATAGTTATTGAAAAGTTGACCAAAAATGTTACCGAATCACATCTTCGGGAGATATTTGGTGGTTTTGGTGACATACAAAGTCTTGATCTTCCCATGAATAAAGCTTGTAAGTCCTATAGACCCATGCTTTCCTACATGCCCAGGCTGACGCTCTACTAGTCATGACAAACAGGGGCACTGCATACATACTCTACCACGATCCTGCGGATGCAGAGGCAGCCATCGCGCATATGCATGAAGCTCAGCTAGATGGTGCCACGTTGAATGTGTCGATTGTCCTTCCTAGGAGAGCTTTTTCTCGCTCACCACCACCAGTTCAACATAGCAGAGCAAGCTTTGGCCGCCCAGGACATGGCCGCGGACCCCCGTCGGATAGTCGCGCTCCAAGGTCACCGCCACCGGCTAGGAAATATCGCCGTTCTCGGCATATGGAAAGACATGACATCTATAGGCCTCGCTCTCTGTCGCGCTCCAGGTCGCCACGCCGCTCTCGATCCCTTTCTTCAAAATCCCGTTCAACTTCACCACCGCCAAGGCGGACACACTCGCGTATGGACAGCTCCCAACGTCGCCGTCGCCGTAGCCCGAGCTACAGCAGCTATGGCTATAGCAGTCGCAGCGATAGGGAACGGAGCGCGAGCCTAAGAAGAGACCATCATTAACCCAGGATTGTTTTACGATATGGTCTTGGTGTCATTTGATAGTCTTTATAGGATGTCACAATGAAGCTACCGTTCTTGGCGTCGTTCAACTACATGGGACTGGCAGAGTGATGATGGGGTGCAGGCTGGTGGACTTCTACACTCGAATCAATTTGAAGCCTTGTCCTATAATTAATAATGTAAAGTTATCTTGTGCACGGGAGAAATTTAGGAAACCCAAGTCATCCGCAATCTAGCTCCAGCAATCACAAATCACCCAGGACCAGGGCCAGTGTCGAGAAGCACCTCTAGAAAAAGGCGCACCAGCCAATATACATAGCAGCTAGATTCTTTACATCCGTTGCTTGTACAATTAGTTCGTCTACGTGACCGTCTACCGAAAGGGGGACTGATTCCCCAGGTAGAAGGCCACGAAGTTTGTTGCGAACATTCTCTAGAACACCGGCAGGTGTCTCTGGGGCATTGGCATGTGTACGACGCTTCTGTTTATCAGCAACGTGAGCGTATACATCTTGGGTGGTGCTTACCTTCTTCCCGATGAAGTCCGTGGTAGGGTCATGCAAGAACGTCTCCAGAACGGTCATGAGTGCGTCTTCGTTGTGGCGAAGTAGACCAAGACTAATTTCACATGTCTTGCGGAACGGACCTATCAATGATATTAGTACATGGACGTTTCAGAGGTCGATTAGAACGAACCATTGTATCCATAGGCACCGAACGCATCAACCATGTTTTGGGTCAAACGAAACGGAACCAATTCAGGTATATCGAATGTCAATCCCTATCCATGTCAGCCAAAAAGATGCAAGGCAGGTTTGTTTTGGGTCTCGGGCGCCTAACCTTGTCGAAAAGGCAATTGAAGTCGACATGTAGAACACCTCCCGTGCCTTCCTCGAACAGTATATTTTCACCATGTCGATCACCTAACCTGCAGAGAAATGAGCTGAAAAGGACATATATCAGCAGACTGTGGATTGACGAACCCTAGGACATGCCCAACCATGGACATGACAGCACAGGAACGAGTATAGCGAATTCTGGCAGCAAACCATGATCCTGCTTCAGGAAACATTTCAATGAACCATTCATACAGAACTGGAGGAAACCTGCATCGAGATTAGTCTTGGAACGGAGCGACTCAAGAGGAAGTGCAATCGGAAAACTTACTTTGACAAAACTTTTGTTGTGAAAAGATGGAGTTTTGAGTTGTCGGAGCATGCTTCGTTCAGGTCGTGTCTGATCTCATTATACTATAGTAGAACCACTTCAATAGCTGTATGGCTATCATCATGAAGCTGAAAAACTTACGTTTGGCGCGATGCCTCTCTCTCTCAAGAGCTTGATAACAATGTCCCTCAAAGTACGAAGGTTATCAACCCATTCGATTAGCCCGCATTCTTCGTTCAGCGGTGTCACAGCGTACGTTTTGATATCTGCCACAGCGATCACTCGGTCAGAGGATAATGGAACACAGAGGATATGATAGACGTTTGAGTACTTACACATCCGTCGTTTACTCGATTCCACATCCTTTTTGAAGAGCCGATTGATCATGTTGTTGAATTCCATGAGCCGTTGATCTTTGCGCAGGTCATCCTTGGGTTTGCACAGAATGTTGTATACTTTTCCGTCTGAGCCCCGGATCCCTATCCTTCGTGGTTTCTGGAGAGAATTCAAGACCTGCACATCGTCCAGTATGGCTATCAACAGTCAGTGAGGTTTTTGCAGAAGTCAAATTAAGAAGCGTTACCTTCAATAGTCGTAGGATCCCTAGGGAAGGCCCTGAAACCTTTCAGGTATTCAGGTTTATGGCTGGCTGGTAGCGTCGGCGTTAACATTGCTTGGAACGGCACCACAAGCCTACAAGGCGCCACCTTATGACTGAACTTCAGATCACGCAGACTGACTCTCAGGACTTTGTCTTCGATGCGAGCTATACACAACCTTAGCATTTCCTCTGAGAACTTCTGTCCTTGATTTATCATGCCACGCATATCTGACGATGGCTGATTTTTCAGTTTCTTGTTGACTTCCTGCTTAAGATTAGCTCGAACTGATTTGATGCAGACTTCTCTTTCTTGACCTACCGTAATCTTCTGCAGGCAGTTTATTCCTCTGGATGCCCGGTCCTTGGAAGAGGACTTAACCACTGCGAGGACAGTCCATAGCCCTTGTTGGGGAAATGAGTTAACTGCCCTGGCTACGATCTTGGTCAATAAGTCGTATACTGTCGTATTTGGGTGACATATCCTAGCAACAACTTGAGGGAGAATGGTGAAGAGCTGTTTCTAGTTAGCAATCTTTCATATGGTACTCGACTTTGTTACCAACCAGAGCAGCCGGGATCCTGTTCACATATTTCTTGAGTTGTGTATGCATATCATCGAGGCTCTTTTTTCGCTGACTCAGAGTGTGCTTTTGGAAATCTCTTTAAGTCGTCCCGATTATTCCAGTCAGCATGCGCATCGAGGTGAAGGTAACGGGAGTTGAAATGTTTAGATCCCGAAGAAAATATTCACTACTTACTCGTTGTCGCCTCTCTTTGGATCAAACGGCTGGTCGACGGTAGAAGCGTGTTCTAGCCAGAGTGTCAAGATTTTGGGCAAGGACTGGAATACGTATTTGTTGCCATGGGCCAATGACCGGAGGTAATTGTCAACAACTAGTTTTGAGGCCTCGCCACTCAAGCTGGGGAAAAAAGAAAAATGAGCCATTGATCATTTTGCAGGTCAGGGATAGGAATGCTGACTAGATCTGTGCTTCCTTTCCCAGAGGTTTTGCTTTTTCCAAATCCAGGATTTTGTTGTAGTGCTTGCCTAGGTAGTAATGAGCCTTCTCCCACCTAAGAACCAGTTAGCTTCCACTTCAAAACACCTGCCGTACCTTTCTGGGACATAGAGTTTACCTAGGGTGGAGCTTTATAGCTTCCCTGTATCTCTGGACGATAGCATCTGATTGTGTTTGTCCTGCCCTGTCTGTCCACTTGGCCAGGAGCAGATGTGCCTATATAATTGTTACAGTCAGATCGTGTCGGTAGCCTGTGGACGGTGACATACTCGAGCCAAGAGCATATTTTGATGTTCACCATTATTTGCAATTAGCGATGAGGTACGCTCTTGAGATGTGGCTGTTTCTGACGAGAACTCATTAGCAGTAATTGCGCCTTCCAGTGTTTGTATTGCTTTTCGATGATGACCGTCTTTCCAGAGGAGCCGTGCGTGCTCAATAGTGGCAGATCGATCGTTAAGACGAGCCGCATGTAGCATCGACTGGTAGGCTTGATTGGTGAAGTTGCCTTTGCGCGACAGACGTGCACTAGTTAGCCAAGCAGCGGCTATGTCGGAATCGGTAAATTCGTTCCTTAAGGCTCTATCAGCATTCGACTAGAGAAGTTCACAAAGAGGGCAAAAGCGACATACGTTAGCTCCATCGTAGCCCTTCTGAGGCCTAAGAGATATTGCTTATCAGAGATGTAGCCCCCAAGGATATCCAAACGTCGATCCAGTATATCAGGTAGCTTTGTGCGCGAGTCATTGCTCTCACTATCCTCAAATTTAGCGCGAGCTATAGACTCTACCTCGTGTAGAGTATGTAGCTTGAGAATGCTATCATGGCATGACTGCAACGAAACCACGGAGTTGGCTGTTAGGGACTTGGCCACACTGAGTCGTAAGGCCTCTATATGTTCCCAAAATTCCGTATACTTGCCTTGCCGGAAAGCATTGAGGGCCAATCCAATCTCAATATTGAATTCCCCCCTACCCAACCGCGAGAGCTGCTGAAGATACTCATTTAGCTTTCCCCAATTACTTGTGATCCAGGTCGCTTCTACTGCAAAAGGCAGAAACTTTCTAGATGAATTATTTGCTTTCAAGATCTCGAACCGCGTGAGAATGGCATCTAAGAATGTGTCAGTAGACCGGCTGGACGGGGATTGATTAGGGAAATACCTTGTTGTCCAGATTCCTTGAGACATGCGAGTAGACCCCACTGTGCTTCGCTATCATTTGGTTCTTTCTCAAGTTGCAATTCATACCAGCTTTGTGCGGTAGCCCACCTTCCTGCCTTTCGATGCTCAAGTACCTGCTGATCGATGTTTAACACGTGCAGATGGCTTGAAATTCCTTCGATACCGTCTGGTTCGTCGATCCGGCTATAGATATCTTGTAATCGCTGGTAGAGAGGTTCGACGGCGGCGCCTCCTTGCTTAGAATGCTGGTTTTTCCACTGTCGGATGTATTGCTCCCAATGGAACAGAGCCCGTGAGAATGATTTGCACTCAACAGCCCTCTTGGAGATGACCTCTGGAGGTATCGAACTCAGAAGTATCTCGACAGCTTTGGCTTGCGAATGGTAGGTGTCTAACAAAGCATCGCGAGATGTTCCCTTGTGGTTACGGTTTGAAGGATGGCTGGGGTTCCTGAGACCATTTATCTGTTTCTTTTTGCCCTGTAGCCACCTTGAAAGGTAGTCGAGGACCTCGAAAATGCTCTGTTTCGAATAGTGTGAGACAGCAATCAAACAAATCTGCACAAATAAAATGGAAATACGCTACTCACCTGACTGCACAATATGATGTTCTCATACACATAGTCGTGTGTGTCTGGTAATGGGTGTGACAGGACATTCACTAGCTCACAGCGTAGATCTTCTTTCTCTTGTGGGCTCCCAGAAACCGTACGGTTAAGGACCGCGAATGGCAGCAAAAAAGATGCTATTGAGATGTCTTGGCCTTTCACAATGCGGCTGCAAACACTGAATACTAATTTCGCATTGTCACCGTTCCCGGCTTGCAATAGATCTTGCACAAAGGTCCGTAGCCAGTTGCCATGTGTCAATCCAGCTGTGAACAAGGGATAGCTGCAGTTAGTGTTTAGGGTCCCAATGGTAACTGTATACTTTGAGGTAAGGAAAGGAGCTAGAATGTTGCGAACAGTTTCAGGTAGCTCTAGCCAGCGTTGATATTTCTCATCGGCTCGGAAGTCACGCGATCGATTGGCCACGGCTGAATCAAGACCGCAGAACCTGAGTAGGTTCTGCATCGCATATGCAAGAAATCCTTGAGCTCTAGTATTTGAAGCTGATAGGAACGTCTCGACTAACACGTTTTGGAGGAAGAAAAGTATGAAGTCAAAGGTCTCTTCCATGCTGTCGAAGTTAGACAAAACCAGAATCCCTTTCTTTTCTTTCACCGTGTCCACTCGGTTAGGGTCAAGACAGCCGATCAAGCCTAGACATTCAGCCGATAACTTGGTTATAACATCCGAGCTAGTGTTAAATTTCACACAACAATCGAGCAATGACCGTGTTAGCTGTGCAACAACTGGATCTGGAATCTCACTGAGAACAGATCTATGAATGAACTCTTCATTCTGGGAGAGATAAGGAACTAGCTCATGCAAGGATTGCTCAACAACCGTTGCAGTATCACTTTGACAACGACGAATGAATGCAAGGAAATGGCTTCGTACATCCATCTTCTCTTTCATGCTATTAAGCGTGGCTTCATGCTTGTCGAGTATTGGAATTGAAGCTAGCGAGGGCATGGTATTGAAGATATCGCATACCAACTCATGGTGAGACTGCATGATGTAATCAACGAGTTCGTACGCTTGCTTCCTTGTATCCTCAGTGAAAATGTCCCAGTATCTGATCACAATTGATAGTGTCTGATCGATAAGGGGCTCAACTTCCTCTTCTTGCAGGGAAATGATCAGGACTCTCCAGACGATGAATGCATTATTACACAGCTCTTGAATTTCAAGAGCAGCTCGTAAACATGCGCATATCTATGTCACTTTAGCTTACTACTGAAAATCACATTATATGAGCTGACTTATGTACGAACCTGAGGTAAGGCGCTACTGATATGGCCACGAGCAACCTTTATCATCTCTCCAATCGCTGCAATGTTCCTTTTTTTCTCAATCAGAGGTTGTCTGATTTGGAAGTCATTTACAGCATGAGCGAACTGTGTAATGATTCCAAGGACATGCTCCTCAATGAAGTATCCTATAAGGTTCGCTCGTCTTGGTGTGTGACCTGACTTTCGTGGAACAAGGACGGCTAAAAGATGAAGTGCGCGGAGAAACTACATTTCCTTCATGTCAACGTCGATCGCGCTGTGGAATCGGCAATGACTTACCCTCTTGCCTTTGTCCTCCCCCAAGTCGCCAAGGCCTTTGAGTAGGTCACAGGCAATCAGTATCGGCTCAATCCTCAAAAGCTCAGCCAGAGTACGGCCCCTAAAGGCAGCATCAACTTCCGACAAAGCGGACATGACGGATTCTTCTGGATTCGGCGATGGTTGGCTCAGCAAAAAAGCGAGTATCGATGCAAGATTGTTCTTCTCTGAGCAAATATCGAATGGTGTCTTCGCGTCCTTGTACGTTGCCCCAACTCTGATGATCACATCGCGCTTCCGGGTAAGTACCAGATATGGAAGGACATAGGTCTCTGTCAATCTGAGGAAGTCATCCACTTTCATACCCAGGAGGTCGCAGAGCTGTTCTGCCATGTAGGGGCGAGACTGAAAATTTCTCACAACGGTCACTGACAAGGTCCTCCAAAAAGGCCTGAACAAGGCGGCCGGAGTGACAGAAAGATGTTGTGCGAGCCCTGAGAGCTAAGTTCTATTAGATGTTGGCCTAATGTAGTCACATGCGGAAGGCAGTATATGATCACAATATCAGGGTCCATACGTACTTCGGTATAAGCCACCGCCCCTATAAACGGGTTCGGATGTCCAAGGTACTCTACCAGACGAAGAAGTATGATATTCATCTCTTCGTCGTTAGAAAACCTGTAGATATACGATATGTTAGCGAATGCTCACAACCACTTGGCAGGATCAAACTCACTGCGCCAGATGACATAAAGTAAGAATACATGTCTCATGTAATGGCGTCTCCTGTTTCTCAGAGAGGCTCCGCAACCAGTCCAGAATGACAATGAAATTACCTCGTCGGGTTTCGTGGTCGAGATCTCTACGAACGAACGAGGTTATCGAATGTCTGAAGAGTGGTCAGCACTTCAAAGATTTCGCAAGATCTTTCAATAGAATATACCCTGTAGTAAGACGTAGCTCTCTGACAGAGCTCCTGAGAGAATTGAGGCAAAATTCGCCGAAAGCAGAAGATGCAAGCTGCATATGAGCTGGGTCGGAAGTATGCATCAACGTCCTTCTTAACGCAACTGTCGCAGCTATTCTCAGGTTTGCAGTCCGTGAAAGGTTCGAAATGATGTGATTCAAGATCTGACATAGTTCATCGCTCTTGACAATGCTGGAATTGCTTTCTGGTTCGATATCATGGCATTTGGAGTCACAGATTCTACAGTTGAAACTGTCCTTTGAATCGACATTCAACATATCTACCAGGTTTCCAGACAATGCACAGGGGATATTGCACAGAACACATAAGAATCTTAGTTTGTCCGGCTCCGATAGTCCAATGTATGATGTACTTTCCGTTGTCAGTCAACAATTGTATTCATGGGGACAATACATGTCGACTTACAGAACCGCACAGCTCAGATCCCCCAGGGTGCCACTCCGATCACAGCCAAGTAGTTCAAGTGACTTGGCTATAAGCCTCTGTGCCCCATTTTGGCCTTCTCTGTAGGCATCCAATCGCGGGAGACAGCGACGTTTGGCCATCCGGACAGCCCCAACACCACTAATGGAAGAGTGGTCAGAACCCGGGAATTCGTGAATAGCTACCAATTCCGTTGAATGCCCCCCGCAGAAAGCTGCCTCTGCACCTTTCGCGTTGGAATTGTAAGTCATGGGACAATGTACGAGGGAGCATTCGATCGCAGCCTAGCTTTGAGTTAACCAGACGGTAGCTATGGTGAGGGCCATATGGGATGATATACCTGAAGACAAGTATCGAATGAACTGAACAATGCGAGGTTACTCTTAATAGGTAGCACAGTAGCCCCCATTGATTGCATTATATTTTTTTCGGATGTGAAAGCCTTAGTGAAGCTGTCAATGGCATGGCTTAGGCTTAATTGGAGAACAGAAGCCTGGCTTAGCAATTCTAGAGCAAAGGTTTCTGCGAATGTCTGGAGGAAAATGTATGCTAGCCTCTGTTTCGCTGATGTATGTGGAACATGGTCACAATATCTTTTTATGAACCTCAGGAACTGTGAAAAGGTTGGCACTTGGTTTGCGACGTCCTCAGTATCTGATTTGGAGTGCCAAAGCACAGCGAGCTTCCACAAGCGCCGATAACTATTAGAGAGCCATGCCAAATCCTGTCGTTTAGAGGGGATATTATAAGAAACGTGAGCATTGATTGTAGATGTGAGCATATCAAGGCATAGACGGACTGTTTGAGCGCAGCTCTCAAGTCTGATCAATTTCTTCAGAGATCCACAGCGCAGGCCAAGTCTGTCAAGATCCAAAGTACAGGGCTGCTTCGGGTATACTACAGGGGAGCCGGCCACAAGCCGAGCTCGAGACTGAGAGGCGTCAAGAGCATCAAGGAGTTCTGGAGGGATCAGTATAGGACTCTCTGATCTACCCGAGGAATCTCACAAACCAGTAGTGCAGGCCCGAACAAAGGCAGTAATACCAACAAACGTAGACCATAGCTTCGTATGATTGTGTGAAGCGTTGAACATACTTGCGAGGATGCCACCGATTCTATCTTCGACAGGCTCACTGTCCCAGGTAGAGAATAGATGGACTAGCCAGACGACTAGACACGAGTACAAGGGACTTGCTGCATCCTTTCCCAGAACTTCTGGCTCTGGCACCTCCAAAAGCGCTAATGGGGCTTTGTCAACAGCATTTTGGACGATGTCCAAGCAGTCCAGGAGTTGACCTTGCAATTCCGACCTATCATCTCTGATACAGGGCTCTAGACCTGCTTTCAGCACGATGCAAATCAGTTTCTTAACATCAGTGATACTATCATTAAGCTGAAGATGACTATATTTCCCCACAAGCAACTCATGCCGGAGCTGCGAAAATGCCTCCTTAGTTAGACCAAGCGTCCCATCACCCTGTGATGAAAGGTGTGGTGCAAGGTTGGCTGCGAGCGTAGAGGAAACTGGCTCTGCAGGATTCCAATCTGCAACCCCAGGAATAGGTAAACGAGACTCCTTGCGCTTATTAGTTGCCATTGGCGATGCCTTTATACATGGTCCTGATTTCTCCCAGGCCTCGTTGAGCGCGAAGAGTGGTAATCAGACCGGCTTAAGATCTACGGATAGTAATACTCATGTATGTTTCAGTGACGCGGTAGTACGGTGTAAGTAACATGTATGGTTTCCCCACAGTCCATCCATCCAGTGATGTGTTGAGATTCTTTAATGCACGAGTTAATGTGGGTATAAAGCATGAAACCCGCTTATCAATTGCTATCAAAGTGAATACCACCAAATATCGACTTGTTATGTGCACGGTTGCAGAATAGTAATCGTATACGGAGTACTTGGAAGCGGTGGTATCATTACTACTACTATAAGCGGACTTCCGGGCGGTGGGTAATCAAATGGGTTTTCAAGGCAAAATCCTGGTATCTACGGGCTCACAGAGCTCTACAAGGAAAGTTTCTCTTCCGCTTCCTGTGTAGAAACAGGTGGGGTACAAAAGGAAAGATAAGGTCTAGAAACTTAGTAAAACTTGTGCTCAAATTCAGTGACTTTGTACATGCAGAGTGACCCCCTCGGGTGACTCTTATACTTGTTATCAAGCCTATTCCTGGTGTCATCAGTACCGACTACTACTACTCAGCTAACCCACCTCCCAGCAACAATCTCACAAAGCCCTCCTCAGTCTAGCGGAAGAAATATGGAGATGTCTGGTGACATGCCGCCTGAGTTGCTGGAGAACAACGCCGAACATGCTTATTTCATGAAGCAGGCGTTAATGATGGTAATTGTATCTTGCCCTAGTGACACTGGAGATTGGTATTCTTATACTCGTTCTAGGGAGAAAAAGCCCTTGCAACCGGTGAAACCCCGGTTGGCTGTGTTCTGGTGTATGACAACAAGATTGTTGGTTCTGGAATGAATGATACAAACAAATCTATGAATGTAGGTGAGCCAGCTGCCTGAATCATCAATCCCAATGGAGAACTCGGAAGTTTCAATGAATCTTCCAATTTCCCTTGTCCCTTGGGAGAGTCCCCCTCAAAGCAAAATTAGAAAGCGCTTGTGAAATCTAAAACCATAGCCGGTCTTATCAGGGTACAAGACATGCCGAGTTCATTGCCATCGGAGAAATGCTCCAAACTTATCCTAGGTCAGCACTGCGTTCAACAGACCTCTATGTAACTGTTGAACCGTGTGTCATGTGTGCATCTGCTTTGAGACAATATCAGATACGAAAAGTATACTTCGGCTGTGGAAATGACAGGTTCGGGGGAACCGGTAGCATTCTATCACTACATGCCGAGTCCGTTCTTGCCTTCCCGCGGACCTACACACCTAGAACCTAGAACTAATTCATGCTAGTCGCTCGATAGATCCACCATACCCGGTGCAAGGCGGGTTGTTCCATAAGGAAGCTATCATGCTGCTTCGGCGCTTCTACATACAAGAAAATGAGAAGGGTAGGTGGCTAGCTTCTGACAACTGTGACAAGGAAGCCTTCTAACAGACTCTTTCGAGCAGCGCCCAAGCCCCGCCCTAAAAAGCACCGTGAATTGAAAACGGATTTTGACCAGGAAGTCCTCATCGCCTCCCCTACACCCTGAGCGGGATCGGGTTGTACTTAGTCGAACGGCCGCACAATGAAGGAAGCTGAGGGCTAAGCATCTTCGATGTCATGTAGAAGCGATCAAGGTGAAGTGAGGAAAAGGTTCCATTTAGGTTTTGCGTTGTTTCAGGAACTAAATATACAATATCGCGCAAGAGCCAATGAAACGTTAACGAGCCGATCCTTATACCGTCTTTCATGTCACAAGTTTAGGAGCTAGCTTGCTTCAACCGCTCGGCTTCCAGCTCCCGCTCGGCCTGCTGATAGTACTTGGCCGTGTCGACGCCATGCTTGTATTGCAGTTAGTAACAAAATTTATACCCGACGCTGATGGTTGTGTATGAAAGGTGATGGCTCTTCCATTGTACTTACCTGGTCATGGTTGACAAGGTTGAACCATGGAAGAACATGGATGAATAGCTCAGAGTATCTAGAGTTTCGAGCAGCAACGCCTTGCAGGTATGAAGAGACTTTAGATGTGCCATATAGGGATTCCCCTTTCTTGACTTTGTCCACCATCTCCTTCATATCCATATCAGCTTCCCTCGAATTCTCCGTGAAGCCATAGAAGCGGTCTGCACAAGAACGTTAGTACTACAAGGGCGTAGATCAAAACAACTGCTCCATGGTTGCACTGACTGCAGGATCTCTGATAGACCACGTGGAGACCTCCAATAAGGCCAATGGCTGTTGCTAGGCGCATCACAGGAGCGAACCCTCCCCTGCCGACGTGAGAAGGGCTCACTCTTTCCATAACCCAGAACGCAAGAGGAGACGCAGCGGCCATTCCGCCGCCCACTGCGTAGTCAGAGGGTCTTGCATATCCGAAAACTCGTCTCAAGTGCCTGGTTTAAAAAGTGAGTCAATTGCAATATGGCAACGTCAAGCTGGTCCATACGGGTCGGAGTCAATTAGCTACAAAAGCCAAAGTTAGCCGCAAGATCCGTAACTCCATTTCAGATAGAGAATAATCAACCCTACCGGGTAGTCTGTATTGGCCCGCTTTGGGGGAACAAGAATTGATTTGTGATCAGTCGCCATTGTGACCGGGCTGGGACAGTGGAGGATGAATTATAATGGACGTTTCTGGATTGGCTTCCGCTTCATTGGAGATGGAAGTCGGACGGAGTTATGCCAAGCCCAAAGCCATACCGATTGAAGACTAGCAGGTATTCATAATTACAAAGCCTAAGTAATGCATAGTTGCAGTTATGCTGAAAAGGTTTTGTAACCCGTTGTCACGCTAACCCGACCGCCTACCCTACTTTGATGATATGATACTAGTAGTACTGATCTTGCCTTTCCTGGCAAATTGGCTGAGAACCTGGCACGCGTCTTGAGCGACGCGTAACGCTATCCGTTTACAGCTGTTCGAGATGGTCATTTGCGGACTTTCATCGAAGTATGCGTACTACTTGTTCAGTCAACAATAACCAGATTTCATGAGAAAATTGTCATTTTCACTATTTTACAAGTCATCAGTAGGTTCGTTGGATGATGGAGAAAGATGTGGGCTACTCAAACCCATCAATGGGCCATGATGATGCATTGTTCGATTATGATGCCGGCTTAGAGAGCACATTGCAAGATATAGCTGTGGATTCAAACAGAGGTGGACCCATTGCTGCACCTGTATTAGGCTTGGATGAAAAGGTCACAATCACTAAGCAGCGACGATCTACTGTCAAGCTGGATGAGGGCCGGTGAGACTGACAACAGGGGGGAGCGCTCTGAATACAATGCTTATTGCTCATTAGATTACTGTCACAAGCCGGCATACCAAAACTGCGTTCTACGGCGAAGACCAAACTGAAATTTAAAGGGAAAGGGCATGAGGTCTGCTGAAACCGATTCGTACTGTCGCTGAGGGACGACTGCGTAGCTAACTGTCTCTCAAAGTTTTCGGACGCCGCTCGATTATTAAATTTCTACCAACTTTGGCTCGATGATTTGTTCCCTCGCGCGAAGTTCGCCGATGGATTGGCTATTATAGAAAAATTGGGTCATTCGAAACGATTACAGACGATGCGACGAGAATGGATAGACGAGGAAAAGCCGAGACTCCCCACAACCGACTCTGAAGATGCGCAACAAACGGAGTTCCCGGGTCCACATGTCCATGACAATAGTATGTCTATCGGGCATCTAAATGAAGCCGACGCGATTGTGGGCCAAGGAGATAGCGTGGCACAGGGGCTTCCAGCACATGGCATTGGAGAGCCATCCTCACTTACGCTGGGAGACGCTCCTCAGCAGGGAGATTTGTTTGTGTCGGATGATGAGAGCGTCCCAAGGGAGATCATAGAAGGTACTCATGATAACGATGATGATGATGATGAGCTGGAAGCACTTCTACGAGAGCACGAGGATGGTATTTTTGATAATAATAATCTGTCAGGACCAGATGCATGGGCTTGAAGCAATAAGCCTATGGGTAACCTGGGTTCCATAGACAACATTGATGTTTCGAGCAATACTACCACTTAGGGCACCAAGACATGTTTCGTATAGTGAACTAATTAATTCTATTTCAACATGGCGCAGACACGGTCTAGCCAGCCCCCTTTTTTTTTCCTTTTTCGAAAAAAACCCTTGCTCTTTCCCTCTACCTTGAGAGTCACCGTGAAATATAAGGTACAAACGTTATCGAAAGTGCTGTGCTTCAGCAGATACCACCATAATGTGCTTTCTTCTCTTTCTCTTCTCCTTTCCTTCCCCTTTCGTGTCTGCAATGGTTTATCAACTGGTCTAAGTATAATCTACAAGATTGGTAAGGCTCATGAAACATGCCATTGCGCGGGACTCTTGATGAAGTGCCAGTGTATCTCCAATTTTTCCCTAGCACTAGCTTTTCGTTCATGCTAATGCTGCCGGCTCAGTGAACACGGAGAATTGTCCACCACCGCCGGCCCAGTTTAACTTTTTCCCACGAACGGCAGTATTCTCGATGACAGTCGCTATTTCAATGTCATCCGGTGTACCCTGACCTGTTTGATAGGTGGCAGAGAATCCCCACGACCAAGGACGACCATCAACATCAATGACGAGCGAATGGTCTGAACCGGCTGCAACAGTATTTGCCTTGACTCCAGGAACAGCTTTAGGCTCTATCAAGATACGAGGCCGTCCCCGCTCGTCCTTAATAACCGCATCCTCAGGTAGACTGTCGATTTTCAGACCTGTTTGGTAGCCGTCCAATCGTCCCCATACAAGGCACTTTCCATTATCAGCGATGGCAAGCGAATGATGGGCGCCGCCGCAGATCTGTGTAACTGCTTTCCCAGATAGCGACTCTACTGCGGTGGGATGCACAATTGCAGCTTCATCGTCACCGGCACCAGCCCTGATACCCGTTTCGCCGAAACTGTTCAAACCCCATGCGTAGACCTCTCCGGACTGATGAACAGCGAAGGAGTGAAAAGCCCCACAGCCGATATGCACAATATTCTTCGGCAGGCCAAACTCGCGCGGCTGCAGGCCGTTCAACCTGTTTCGCTCAATGATACGACGGCCCAGTTGGTTTTGCTGGCCCGAACCCCATGAAAATACAGCACCTTTTTCGTTCAGTGCCAGGACATGATTATCGCCACAAGCCAGGTGTTTGATTTTCTTTAAAGACGGTATCAGACTAGGCGTAAGCTGGACTTTATTGGTGGCATCAAAACCTAAGATACCATCATTGCTCTAATTCGCCTCTTAGCCTAAGCAGTTCTTTATACAAGGGTATGCAAAGCTAAACTTACTCTGAATGTTCCCCAACCATAGACTTGACCATCATCCGTAAGGGCAAAACTTGAGCTGTCGCCAGCAGCAACTTCAACGAAGACGGTGTCTTTTGGGAAAGCCTCTGACGGAATAGCAGTGGGAGTTGATTCGTGGGGATTTAAAGCAATGTCATCATCGGAGTCCGAGTCTGACTCATTGTCGGCTTTGTCGATATCTTTGTACCCACCGTCCCAAGTAGTATCTCTGCCAAGTGCTCCTTGGTCGTTGACGCCCCATGTAAGGATCTTGTTGTCATACGTAAGTGCAACGCAATGCATCCCACCAACAGCGACCTGCACGACACCGACACGGTCCGCTGGCAAGTTGGCATTCAACCGAGGCCGCTTCACGTCAACTGCATTCTTAGCAGATCCCAGGCCCAACTCGCCAGAGCTGCCTTCGCCGCACACATAGACATTTAGTCGAGTGGTTGGCGCATGGTTGATGACCACCTTCGGCTTCGGTTTAGTAACCCGGGGTTTAGCAACGCGGGCCTTTTTCACATCGCGAGCTGGAGCTTCATCGACAGCTTCCGGCTTCCGCTTCGCACGTTTCGCAGGCTCAACTTCACGCTTCTTGCTTGCAAGGTTGTCATCCGTTCCACCACCCTTCTTGGGAGCCGTGGCAGGTTTCGCGGTTTGTCTTTTGGTGGTCTTCTTGGGCTTCGCAGGGGCCTCTCGCTTGTCAGTTGGAGCTTTGCGAGCAGTACTGGTCGTGGCGGCTGTCTTCTTCGCTTTCGTCGTTGTTTTGGTGGATGCCTTCGTAGCTGCCTTCGTCGTAGTAGTTGTGGTTGCTGTGGTCTGTTTAACCTTTGCCGCCGCAGCTGATGCCGCAGCCGGCTTGGGTGCGCTTTTCTTGGGCGGCATAGTCGCTGTCAGATTAACAACTATGTCTTGGCTGATTGGCCGTTGCAGTGATACACCGGAAGCGTATCAGGGGCTTAGGGAGTTGGAAAAAGAAAAAGGCTCACCAGTGACCCAGGTAATGAGCTGTTGAAAACGAAAGAAGATGGAGGGAGGTGGGGAAGAGAAAAGCCACCGAAGAGGCGCTGGACGATTTGAAAAGAGAAAAGGTACAAGAAAGGGTGGGGAATGCGCCCACGCGATAAAAGTTCTGGTGTTATTGTTGTTATTGTTGTTGTGTTTTTGCGATCTGATTTCAGAGCAACACTAAAGAACAATGGCACCCGACAAACAAAGAACACCGTTCTTTGAACACACCAACTCAGAAAAAAGATGCCTAGCAGTTTTCATATATTTGGCTAGAAGAGTTTTCTTGGTCATTCACATCCCAGGGACGTTTCTTTGTTTTTCTTTCTTTGTTCTCCCCCCTTCTCCCCTAACCTCTATTGAATATACTATCTTATCTCGGTGCCCTTGAGTACAAGATAAGCTATAGTACCGGCCTGGGAACTATGCCTGCATGAAGTTGGTTAATTCCGAGGACTCAACTTCTTCCATTGCTCAGGCATTCTTGACTACTAGTAGTAGGGACTGCTATCTCTTGCCAAGCTGCCATATGTAGCAGTAGACGGTCCTCCCAACTGTTCCTGTAAAACATCCATCGTGACTTCGCTGACAGCCACCTTTGGTCTTGGGGGATACATTTTTGTTCTCAGCAACAATGGTGTGTTTTACGACTCGGCATTTGTAGTAGTAGTAGTAGTAGGGGACTCAGTAGGGGGTGCAACCCGAATTCTTCCACACATAATAACATTCTGACCCAAGGGCATCCATTTCACGTCCCTAGGATTCAGAGCAGCGTTTGGCTTGCCTTCTTGATCCCGCTTGGAATCTGGGCTCACACTTACTCCACCGGAGCCAAGATAGGTTGGAGCGACAGTAACAATGATAGTATCAATAAATTCGGTGTATTCGGGGTTCAAAAGCTCACTCAAAACGGTCCCGCCGCCTTCGATCATGACGCTTTTGATCCCCTCAGATGCCAACGCACGTAGTATGGCTTCCCAGCGCAGCCGCCAGTTCTGATTGTACTCCATGATACGGAGATAATCGCCCCCGTAGCCCTTCAGCATCATCAACTTTTGTGGGTCAATCCTGGCTCCTGGGGATACCACTACCCACGGCGCCTTGCCTTTCCCTTCTACTGCAGTCCTCAGCATTCGGCAGTCTGGATGTACAGGCCATCGTCCTGTGGGATCGACTATCACTGGCCGCGGTTGCCACATCCTTCCAAGGCCACCGAACCCACCTGCGCCTTCCAGCCTACAGTTGAGCCCGGGGTTGTCTGCAAGCACTGTTCCAACTCCGATGAGGATTGCGTCATGACGTGACCTGAGATAGTGGGTCATCAATTTAGCCTCTGGCCCGGACAGCACAGTTTGCATGCCTGGCAGGAGTGATATCTTAGAGTCCATCGACGATGCATAGGACAGGGTGACATGAGGGAACTGGCGGCGATCATTGTGCTTTGGGAGATAAGGCTCAAGAAAATCTAGAGGGAACCGAGGGAAGGAGAGCGTATCCGGGGGCAAAGATGCGTGTATGGCTGTATTCGAGGGTAACTTGTCGCCCGGAGTATTGCCGATACCATCAGCCGCTCGCATCCTTACAATGCCGTGACCCTTATGATATTCATAGCCTTCATGCGCCACAAGTTTAACGTCGGGGTTCTGTATCCTCCACTTCGCCGAGACATTGCGCACGTCCGTCACTGTACAGAATTTGCCCCCAGCTTCAACAAGCTTTTCAGGTTCTTCTTGGAACTTCGTGAAAATTGAGGAAGGTAGATACCCCTTGATTGCTTCCCTCCGCGCAAACTCCATTAATCCAGAATTTCGCTTCACTCGGTCAATATAATCAAGGTCATGTGAATGTACCCGACTGCTCCCTGGAGTTCTCGCTATCGTCACCGTCGAATATGCTCCTTCAAACTTGACAACTTTGATCTGGAAGTTGCAAATACCACCCTCCCGCACTCTCTTCTTTCGGGGGCGTTTGCCCTCAGGAAGAGGACGAGTTTCTGACGTACGATGAGTAGGGCGTCGCAAACGACACATATAATAGTCCGTGGTGCAATGTCCTTCTTTGCTGGAATTAGACCTCTGTTTGACCCATACATTGTCGATAAACGGCCAATAAGTCTCAAATTCCTCCAAGCTAATCTCTATGGGATCCTTGCACTCGAACATCACTTGGCGTATCCTTGCAAGATTGGGGGGATTACTGATGAGATTGTGGTTTGTGGCCGAGCTTGAGTCCCTTGACCGGGACTCACAGCTGGGATCGTCGACATCTGCTTCTCTAGGGATATCGTCGCTCGCGGAGTTGTGGTCGCTTCCTATCTGCACGGGTCCTTGTATATCCAATCCCTCTGGTCTTGCAGACTCCGTCGCATTCCCAGAGATGTGGTCGGTTTCGAGAACCGCATCGTGGGGTATGAGGTCGGCGGGCGTTGTATTATTATTGTGGTTGCGGTTGTTATCATTCTCGTAGAAAGCCACCATGCGTCCGTTCAATGGAGCTTCTTCCAGTCCATCTTTTGCACGGTTCGGAGCATCATCGCACGATGAGCCCGACCCAGAGTCGGGCGATAATGATTTTGTACTCGTATCAGACGCGTCTGAGCGGTCATGTTCCATGTCGAACATCGGAGTTTTCTGGGGCTAGACCAAGGGCAGCTTGAGAGACACGTACGGTGTGGTCCAATATCGGGTCGAAAAGGCCCCGCAGCTAGCCTGCTCATATCATGGCTCAGAAACGATGCACTTGTCGGGCTGCTATGTGGAAATACGTGACGTCTGTTGTCTATTAGTGCGAGCCACTCACTTCTAGGCGCTCTTCCTTGACTAAAAGTGTTCAGGGTCAGATTAATCCTTGTGCTGTCAATTCCCTCCGTCATCCAGCCGACGTTCTTGGCACCCTCTCTTGCGGAAAGCGCCCGCGTTTGCCGGAAACCAAGCGCCATTTATATAGTTATTCATTGGTACGCGTCGTAAATATGCAGCTCTACAAACTATAGTTTAGGTATCGAATGAATGCTACAGAGTAACGATTACGTTGTGTTGTTGTAGCATCTACCTCAGTCGCCGACAAATAATTGCATGTGGAATCTAACTCGAGTAAAAGCCAATACTGAAGTCAAGAACGCGCTAAAGCCCAATGCACCCTCCTATTGGGCTGGCTTCTCAATAAGCGCCGATCTCTGCTCCAGCTCGCGCCAGCGTCTCATATACTTTCGGCGGCAGCTTGTATTTGACCATCCCCGAGAAAATCATTAAATCCTTGGCCATGACGAGCAACTCATCCGCCAGTCCCTGCCTAATCTCGTTCTCATATGTACCAGAGTTCAGCCGTTCCCTTTCGTGACCAATACATGTGATACACCACATGATCACATGGCCGACATTATGGGAAATTATTGGGGGGAAGGACGAGAAGGCTTGGGCAGCGCTCCTAATGTAGGGAACGGAGCCTCGGGCCCGCAATGGAAGAATGCTCAGATCATTAATAGCCTAGACGGAAACCGTTAGTTTGGTCGCTGCCTGTCAACCCGAGTAGAAAGATCAACTTACATCCAAAGCCGGCGTCCATTTTGCTGCCTCAACCTCCACCTTAGCTTCCATCATCCTAAGCAACAATCCACATGCATCGCGATTGACTTGCCGGATTCGTTGGTAATACATCGCATTTGCGTTATACAACCCAATCATATTCCTTGCCAGAATAACCGGATTATCCACGGTTGTTAAGCTGAGACTGCCGCCGGCCTCCAGTTCATGTTCATCGGTCCGAGGCCTCAAAGGCTGCAATTTCAGGGCGGGTCCACCCAATTCTACAGCAACGGCGTCAGATAGCGCTCGATTGATGATATCAATGACGCGGTCGTAGTCCTCGGCAAGATGATACAACAGGACCGCGTCCGTTATAAGGCCCTTGTCATCGGCGATAGCTGCTGCTTGCAGAGTGATCGTCTTGAGGAACTCATCTTGATCGACCAGTTTGATCAAGCTAATACGTTGTTCAATCAGTCCCTTGATTCTGCTTCCATCTGACCTGATGTCGCCCAGCAATTTAGCAAAGTCCCTGGTCTCGAGGATAAATTCCCGTAATGCTTCGTGGCATACAGAAGCTTGGGATTTACCCAGAGCTCCGGGCAGGTCGGCGTTAAGGCATAACAGCGTAAAGTAATCAATGGCCGCTTCCACATATCCCGTCCGGAATTCTCTCGTGTATTGCGTGATTAGGTAGCCGAAATTAATCTGTGGGTATTGCTTCACAGTAAAGGACACTGTGGCTGTTAGTCTTGCCTATAGCATTCATCACGGCATATCGGGTTTCCACTCACATATCTCTTCACCTGACGTGTAAAAGTCTGAGACGCGCAACACACCATAATATGCCAAGGCAATGGCAAAGTGCACAGCTGTGATTGGAGCATAAGAACCAAGGTATGAAACAGCTTGCTCAAACATTCCTCCCAAGATTTGCAGGAAGAAAAAGGTTCCATAGCCTCCGGGCCCCTCTTGGCCTTTTCCAAATACTCGCTGACCAATCTCCGTGATATCAGTTTGAATGTCTTCGAGTCCAAAGACGTCGCCGGCAATCTCCTCCGCTCTATCATCTTCCCTAGCCATACTGAACTGTAACCACATCCAGTCTTCAACACTTTGATTTATACCGTCTAAGCGCCTGCGGCCAAGTTCACAGCGTCCGATGATTTTGTAGCAAGCCATACGGTACGGATCAACTGTGTTATCAGGCGCATTGCGAGATCGTTGTTGATATTCGCCGTTGATCTTTTGTTGCAGATCTCTAGGCAACCGTCGATTCTGCGCATATGTAGTCATATATGTCACAAATTTGTGATCTAGAGACCTAAAACCGGGATCCTGGCTCACGTATTCTGCAGCTTCGGTAACGAAACCACAGCGAAGGAGGTAGAAAATGAGAATCCAGCAATAATCCTGGCCAACCATCTGCAACTCCGTACCATCAGGAGCAAGGTCTTTCCGTGCCGCTCTGAGCCGAATATAGGCACGAATCTTATTGGTCACAGTTGGTATGCCACCGAGTTGGGCCTCCCGAGGGTTTTTGGTAATCACACTTTCAACCTCGTCGTAAAAGAGCTTTTCCAGGAAAGACCTAGAGCCCTCAACAATCCGTTTTCTCAGACTTACTGCTCTGCGCGAATTTGGGCTCTCATCCAAGTAATCTTGGGCAAACTGACGTTCCACGAGAGCCGAGGGATCATTCATGGTGGTAGCATCTGGAGACTCCCCAACAATGCTTATCAAAGCTCTATAAGCATCGTACAATTGTCGAGGTACCTGGTAGAGTCAGTCAACCGCGTACGGGGCTTTGTTTGAGGAACTTACATCGCCGCCAGCATGCCCTTCAACATCGGAGAACTCATGAAGGATCGGAAATGCTCTAGTATGTAGCCTAGCAGAATTAAGTTGCCGAACCTTGTCTGCATAGTAGCCCATTTTCTCTCGTAAGAAGCGAAGATCAGAGTGACCCCCCGCACCCTCATTGCGCTCCGTAGAATCTTCGAAGAGTCGGAGGCTTGCCGTCCCTGTTCCTGGGGTCCCGATGACGGACTTTTCTAAAGCGGAGCGTCCGAATACACTTCGCCGACCTGAAGGCGTAGGGCCGTTTGTGGATGCAGGGCCGAACTGTTTAGGTCGCCGCATCGTGCGTCCAAAGCTACCTCTTATATCGCCAGCGCCATCGTCTTTTTGCGCTAGCCCGAAGTGCTGGAATATCTTCCGGCGCTGTTCCTCCCAGTCCATGTCAACCTTCTCTTCCAAGAATGAGTCAAAATCTTTCTGGGTCCGAGCAAGACTCTCATTGATCATCACTTGACGACCACGCTGTTGTATGTTTTTTAGGAATTTTTGGTTGTCTGGGTCAAAAGAGTCTTGTTCTCTCAGTGGTGTCGATACCGATGCCTGAGGGTCCAAAGCCTTCAGGTCCCGCAAGGCGTGGCCAGGAGATACACCTGAAGCCGCGAGCAGATAATGGCTGGTTTAATAGAATATCAGCCGACAAGATCTGAAGCAGAAGGAGGTTAACTTACGCTTTGCTGTGTGGTACTTGAGGTTGAAATTCCTTTGAGCCACCAGCACCAAGTTCCCGAGCTTTTCTGCGAATGTCGTCAAGACCCAATTGAAGACTTGGCAGCTCCTCGAAATTGCCGTTTTGAGCAATTGCAGAGATTGGTCTCTTTTTTCCGCGTTCTAGTAAACTGTTGAAAAAAGCCGGTTGGGTCGTCTGGCTGGACGGTGGCGCTGCATTGGCTTGTGCCTGATCTTGTGCAAAGACCGAGCTCGAAGTAGGCTGCTGTTGCACTTGCGACGGCTTTGCGAAACTTGTTCCACCTGTAAGGCCCGGCGTTCCAGATTGATTCCCAAAGAGACTCGATGATTGCGTAGCAGCTCCTAGGCCACCCCCTCCAAAGAGGGAGCCGGTGTTCGTCGAGGCCATTAGAGGATATGGGGGCTAATGCTGTCTGTGTTTATCCAGCAGTCACGGAACGTCCACTGTAATTGCTATCCAAATAGATATTGTAAGCATGATTTTGTTTAAAGCAAGTTTAAGAAATTGCAGCTCACTGTCAATAAAGTAAGAAGAGATGAATATGACACCTTTTCTTGAGATCGACCCTGATACTGTCTTCGCTCGGTTTGCGATTCGACAAGTCGGTTGATAAACTGTTTTGGCGTGCAGTCCCAGATTCCGTAGGTATGTCGGACTTACTTTTTTGCCGAGCTTTGTCGGGCTTACCGGAGATCAGTGATTGACCGCTTTCCCTCACTTCAATTCGCTATTCACTTTCCAACTCTGGGTAGTCGCTATCAAGTATTGGCGCGTGTTTGGCCCAGCACATTAATTAGCATAACCAATTCCATCCCAGGGGAAGGCTTGACGTGCCGCTACACAATGCCGGTATTTCAGGCCAAGACGTTTCGACGCGCAACAACAGCATCGTCTACTCTCGGAGAACGAATCGGCGCGGCCTACCGGGCTCATCTAACTAAACGCCCATTCCTACTCTTCGGCCTTCCTTTCATTATGATAATAGTTTCCGGGTCTTTTGCTTTAACACCCGCTGCCGCTCTGAGGTACGAGCGGTACGATCGCAAAGTTAAACAATTGAGTCAAGAGGAAGCGATCAATCTAGGCCTCAAAGGGCCCGATGGCGATGAGGGCATCAAGCGAAATCCACGGCGACGAGTTATTGGTGACGAAAGAGAGGAATACTATGTCAGTATACCCGCCTATCGGTCAAGCAAGATCTGCGTAATCTAGTTGGGATGTGGGATAGCAGCTAACCTGGTACCATTGCTACAGCGGCTTATGGCCAAAGATCTTGATGATTGGGAGCAAAAAAGAGTACAACGCTTCAAAGGCGAGCCTGATGGAAAACTCTGAGATGCGCCACGTTTGCTTCCAAATTGACCTTGAGCCGATGTGAATCACTCTTTGGCGATAGCCACATAAATGCGACCTCCTTTTCCCTTTAAACCCCCTTAACAAGCCCGATGTAGCTCAGTCTTACCTATGGTCGCACATTGGTATGTAATGATAATGATTGGCGCGCGTTTGCAATGTGAGGTTGACGAACGTCACTGATATTGAACCCTTTTTATAGAGTCGACAAGTACCTTCCAAGGGCCAGACTATGAAGGTTCTATATCATGCTTCCTTCTTGGTGATATCTGCAGTTTCGCCTCGTCGCAGCAGACGCTGATACGACTTCATGTATGTTAGTAAGTATGTTAGTCTTAGTGGTACACCACAAGCACCTACTTGTTTTCTACTAATGCCTCACTTGTCCCGTACCAAACGAAGCATGTCCAGCCAGCAACTATTCATAATTGACAAGAAGCGATTCCTGAAATTCCATACCTCCCAGGATGTATGTGCGAGAAAGACCCGAGCTGAACCGCTGGCTTATCCTCCTAAATGTTGGGTCAAACTCGTGCACAGCACCAAGGTCACCATAGTCGCGCATGAACTACACCCTACTCTTTCCAATGATACGCAAGCCCACTTACACAAAGGTCATGCGTCTCCCAGCTTAGGCAGCCTTAGGCAGCTAGTAGTAACCTTGGGTACATGGCCCAAGCTATGTACTATGTATTTCGTCTATTCTGCGATGGAGAGTAGCAGCTAGAGCCAAGTCAGCTGGCTGCTTTATCAAGGCTTTGTTGCCACCTGTTAGTGCGTAGTCGCGCTATGCCTACGAATTTGACACAAATTATGTCGTGGGACTTTACGCGGATGTGGGGGAGGAAACTAGATTCCTTCCATCATCAAAGAAATGCGTAGAGTAAGGAAGGGGGGGGGAATTGAATTAAACAAGAAGGGAGGCACTTTAGCAGATTAAAGCATCTGTTTGTCACCAATATTAGTGCTCTTCCACATCTCCACACATTTATTCTTGTGTGCTTCATTTCTGAATTAAATCGTTGTAGTACTACTCATGATGAAGTCTCGCCTTCCTGTTGCGCCCTTCGGATGGGCTTTAGGGAGGGGGAATGAGTGCTGGGGTTATGATGGACTCGCCACACCCTTCCCGGTTCCTGGTGGCTCTGAGCGATCCAGACCGGCCGCTGCTGCGTGGGTAACGAGTGGCTCTGCACACTTTGCCGCTTCCCGAGCCTCTGCCACCAACCCATAACGTCATATCCAGAGAACGACTTCGTTCCCTCCGGTTTTCTCACCAGCCCATTCGCTCTTCCAATGTTGGCCCCCGACTCCCCTACGTGCTTGAAATGATGGCTGTGGATCAGTGATATCAGTCATATCCCTGTGTCCCCCACTTTCCTCCCCTCAAGTCCTCCATTGGTTTAGAATTCTGCTCTGCTGGAAGTACGAGTTTTGGGCCCCTTCAGTGAGACGTGGGATCCTGCAACTGCGGCTTTGGTCAGGAGAGCACGACCTCCTCATGCCTTTCATCGGTCACTTAGATTCCTCATCACTGAGTGCTTTTACCCGCGAATCCATTACATTCCTTCAGTAGGACACCACTATATTGCATCTGAATCTTCTGAGATTTTGCATTTCACCAGGCCGATTACGCAGTGTGGCCACCATCGCCTCCAGCTATCTGTGTATTTGCCCCTCCGCATTTACCCGTTCAGACCCTCTTCTCAGCCCGACCCCTCGAAGACAGGTTGACGACGGGTTCATTCAGAAGCCTACGTTCTCATTCAGGCTTAGTATCTACGCCTTCGATGAGTAGCCACTGGATTTCTGTTGACATACTGAGACAGACCAGTGTGTATACTTTATGGAAAAGCAGTGTTTTCTCCCCACCAGTTGTCGGAGAAATTAAACTCGCTCACGGTTTCTGAGATTGTTCTTCACATTCGGAGATTATATCCATCGCGCTATGGCAATGACTGTTTGAATGTTGACGTGTCATCTAACAAGCTGGCAAGCAGAAGGAAGGCACTGATATTTCCTTGAGAGTTTGAAAGTCATGTCGGCCATGACAGGTACAAGATCACCTACGTCCCCTTGGCCCCCGGAGTGTCAAAACCTGCAGCTCGAGGGTTCCTCTACTCCATCGGCCCTTTTCACATTGCGTGAATCTCAAATGTCCCCGCTAGGACATGGTATCAACCCTCACAACTCGGTATCAGAACGCTCGGGTCCCAATTACTTCTCTATTAGCGTGGAAAGCCCTGGTAATCCAAGGAGAAGCCGGGATGCGATATCATACACTCAGCCCCCGGTTTCTAGTCCCAAAGCACAGCTCTTATCCAAAAACAAAGCTTTTGAGGATTATGTGGGCCTGCCGAAGACCGGGGTAGTGGCCGATGACGAACACAGAGAATCACCGGTATTTCGGCTTTCCTGGAATCCTAGCCTACAGAGACGGAGTCCGATACCTTCCCGACAGGATGCATCTCCTTTGAGGCAGACGTCTACTCACGGGCATGGCGTTTCGGTTGAGCGCTGCGCAGAGCTTCTCCGGTCCTCTCATAGGGATATCATGCTGCTGGATGTAAGGCCTTACGCGCATTTCGCGAAGGGGTCTATTAGAGGATCATTGAACCTTTGTATTCCGACAACCCTTCTCAAGCGACCATCCTTCGACACGCAAAAATTAACAAATACGTTCACGAATGAAGCTGACAAAGAGAGCTTTGCGGGGTGGAGGAGATGTCGTTACATAATAGTCTATGATGCTGCCACATCTGACATGAAAGACGCCGGTTCGCTGATGAATGTTCTTAAAAAGTTTACTGCAGAAGGGTGGAGCGGTGAGGGATTAATACTTCTTGGGGGCTTCAAAGCTTTTTCATCTCGCTTTCCCACTCTCATTCAAGGACAGCAAGTTCCAGTATCCGACTCACCCGCGGGAAGACCATCTCGAATGCATATTGATCTTCCAAGTGTCGCACCTGTTGCAGGCGGCTGTGCTCTCCCCGAGTCCTCCCATGCCGCGATCCCTTTCTTCGGGAACATACGACAACACATGGATCTCATCGGCGGTGTCGGTCAGATCCCACTTCAAGTACCCCACAGTTTTTCAGAATCCAAGAAACGCTTACTCCCTCCTTGGCTGCGCGAAGTGTCAGAGTCCTCAGATAAAGGCCGCAAAGTTTCAGAAAAGTTTCTGGGTCTGGAGAAAAAGGAGCTGGAACGTATGAAGAAGGCATTGTCTTACGAAAAGTCTACCGATGCCGCTACAATGAACGACTCTTCGGAAAACTTTCGCGTGGCGGGAATTGAAAAAGGCACAAAGAATAGATACAACGACATTTACCCATTCGATCATTCCAGGGTGAGGTTGCAAAATGTGTCGCCCGGAGGCTGCGACTATGTGAACGCAAATCACATGAAGGCAGCTTATAGTGGTAAACATTACATAGCTACCCAAGCACCCGTACCTGATACGTTCAATGTAAGTATATTCCTTTCGTGGAATAACGCACATATTTACGTGTCGAATGCTCATTCGTCTCACAGGACTTTTGGCGCGTTGTTTGGGAACAGGATGTCCGCCTGGTGGTTTCTTTGACTGCCGAAGTTGAACGGGGACATGTCAAATGCCACCCTTACTGGGAATCTGGCAATTATGGGCCTTGTCAGGTCAACAACTTTTCTCAGAAATTCATCTATTTGGATGCGCAAGATCCGCAGCCAACTGATATGGAGCTTGACAAGCCGGAAGATTCTGGCAGTCCCTATATCATTGTCAGGCATTTCGGCTTGTCGCACTCATCATTTCCATTCCAACCCTTGCGCGAAGTAACGCAGCTACAATATCCCCATTGGCCTGATTTTGGGACCACATCTCAACCAGCACACCTTCTTAAACTTATCGAGCAGTGTGATAAAGTTACAGCAGCAACAACTGGATCACATCCTGGTTCTTGCGATGGACGCGCAAACTCAAGGCCGGTATTGGTGCATTGCAGCGCAGGATGTGGCCGTACTGGGACATTCTGCACAGTGGATAGCGTGCTGGACATGTTGAAGCGACAACGCAGTGCAGCGCATGCCTCGGGTGGAAATATGAACCAATGGTCCCATACCGACAATGTGGATCTCATCGAAAGAACGGTAGACGACTTTCGAACGCAGAGGCCAAGCATGGTGCAAAATTTGAGCCAGTTTGTTCTGTGTTATGAGAGCGTCTTAGAATGGACACTTGCGCAGATGGGGAAAGAGCAAGATATAGGAGGTTGCTGAGGGGTCTTTCATTACGGTTAGACGTTTAGACACTGGGGATGGTCGTGATAGTAGACGGCTTGGATATATTTCTCGTTATGTCATATGCGTACAGGGTTTAGCAATGAAGTTTTGGCCCTCTGTACATCCCTCATTTCCCCGTCTTCTTCGAATGATCAGGCACATATCAGCATAGCGAAGACACTGAATATTTCCTATCACCGGTTACAATCTTCCAACTTTCCTGCTTTTAGATAAGCCCTGTAGATCACTTTGCCCGAGAGACTGTGTATAATATATCGGTCGGTCAAAGCGGGTGGATCCGGACAACATAGCGGGTGTGCTCTTCACTAGTACATTAAGTGTCTAGAATACTTCCTTACATTTAGCAAATACTATCCTGCCATTTCAGAGCCGCATCATATTCAAGGTCTCTAGTTAAACCGCAGCAAGGTAATTGATTGTAGAAGCCAGAAGGATGAATGCAAAGTTATGAGAGTCGAGACAGGCAGGCAACAACAGGTAACGACGGCAGCGGCGGCGGCTGCCTGAGATTCTGCTCATATAAGGAAAGCGAGCAACCCCCAAAGCAAATACTAAGCAAAGCTCGTCCCTGACTATCCACAATACTTTCCGGTTCTATTTTTGAGCTAGAACGTAAGACACTACTACGCACCAGGTTGTACAATCTCATTTCAACCCTCCTGAGTGAAGTACTTGGGCGACCTTTCCGAATCCTCATTTGACATTCAGCCTCAAAGAATTAGTCTGAATCTAGTGTCATGATCCTAAACCTCCCACCTGAACTTATTCAACTGGTTCTTCAGAACTGCAACACACCTGCTTTCTTAGAGGCAGCTTTCTCCTGTCGCATTATTCATGAGATCGCTTCCACTTGCCGAGAGGTTCTTCTGCATCACCTACGGCGAACACCGGGCATTGTCAATCGAGACCTACGCTCCCTCAGCTCAAAACAACTCTTTCGCTTGTTGACAAAGAATGCCTTCCAGCAATTATATGGTGCGCAACATCATGCAGATCGTGTAATTTATGACTTTGGGAACGATGTTCTCGATGTCAAAGCATCCACCTTTTCAAGTTTCGATCACCAAACCCTTGCTCTTGTCGCGCGCGGCCGGGAGAAGGTCTATCTTTTTTGCATTGAACATGGCCAGCTCAGACCCCTCAGAGAGATCAATCTCCCTTATGACCGCCCTGGGATATGCGAAGTCCTCCAGACGGCGTTTGATGGAGATGGTGGGCTCTACGTCCTTCAGCGGTTTGTGCCTGCCATGGACGTGACTGATACAAACGCAAATCACCCATTTATCAAGCAAGCAATGCAGTCTAACATTAACGGAATGAACTACCTCTCATGTCACTCCCTTGACTCGCCTGGCGAGCCCGTTCGAGTGTGTGCTTTCCCAGATCATGCAAATTACAAGCCTCTGGCACTTGCAGCTATGCCAGGCGGCAGCTTTGCTATTTCGTGGCAGCACAATTACGATTGTAGCGAGAATGAAGTCGTGTTATACACGGCTTCAACTAATCCGCATAGCAGTGCAAAGTCGGGTGTCATCGGTTCGTTTTTCCCTTTCTCAATTAACATGAAACTTTCGCCAGACCTGCCTGATTATGCTGACGCAACCTCAGATATTAGTTACGATTCTTGCGTCCTTCTGGAAAGGACGAGAGAGCAGAATGAAGGAGATAGGTTCGCCCAATCTAGAAACACTCGGAACTGTCTTGTCGGAAAAGGGCCCGTGGTGGGACTTGCGTTCAATGACAGATCTAGTCAATTGCTATATCGGTACCGTGCACAAGCCTTGTACGGTTCATTCCAGAAGATCGATCTCTTGCCTTTTCCAACTCAGTCTGTACTATATGAAAACTCATGCCCCGTGCAATTTTCAGATTATTTGACGCTGTTGTTCGGCATTGGAGTACCATTTTTTGGTACACATGAAACCCGGGTGCAGAATGGTCTCTCAAGATGCCACTGGAAATACCTTTCTTTTGGAATAGCCACACATCGTGAAGAGGACTGGACTGTCGCGTGCCTCCTGACCTCTGAGGCTGTTTGTCGAGCCAGTAACTGCGAGCATGAACTACATCTTGAGCGCGGACGGCGGTTACCGGACTGGACGATCGTGGCTCGTCTTCGTGGCTTTGAGAACTCGAATACCTCACTTGGTTGCATAGTTGCAGCTTCCAGGTTGGGAACTCGCATAGCTGTTGCGAACTGGAAAACAATTTATATCTGGGCGCTGGAGCCAGGCGCGTTGATTGAACATAATGCAACCGGATTTTACCCGGTCTCATCTTGGCCACCAGGCTCTGAGGCGATTGATTTGCAGCCTATAGCCCTCTCACTTGATGCTGTATGCTTTCAGCTACGCTTTGGTTTAGGTGAAAATGACCTGGTAGCCATTACAGACAGAGGTCTGGTATACTGTGATCTCGACCCGTCCGGGGGTAGTCACAGAACAGTCTATCAATTGGGCATGGAAAGTGCACCGGGTTCTTAAGAGCTTCTGGGCAAAGTTTATATTCAAGTGATCAGAAGTTGCGGATTTTTTTTGCTAACACTCCTTCTAAATCGTCGGTCACTGATTGCATATTTGATCGTGACAATTAGAGCTTGGGGTTAACAGTAAGCAGTACATCAACTGCGAAGTACAAAGATGGGACGATAATTTGAGTAAACATGTTCCATCCCCTATTCTGAACCAATTAATTATAGCACGGATCCATTGCACTTTATCATAATATAGACATGAAGCTCCGATTCCGGTGAGAGTGGGCGCATGCTACAAGTTACCATGTCAAGACATCATCTGGCCTACCTCTTCTGATCCTCCATTCTGGGAGGCGAATAATATCAGTGCTAATTCCCGTTTTCAAAGGGAGATGTATGGTAACACCACATCATCTATTTGCGCATAGCTGATGCCGGGACACGCTCGCACGTTTCAGCATGGTTATTTTTTCCCTTTCATGCCAGAGCCCACCGAGCATCTGGCGAAACTGGAATATGAATGTGGCATATGAGCTGAACTGAAGACGTTCTAGAGGGGACGCATAACCGGCTGGGACGACCACATTGATTTTGCTCATAATTAAAATAAGTCTTGGGGGGGTTTGCACCCAGCAACAAACCTAGCCAAGTAACACTAGTATACCATGTCTAAGGAGAACAGTTGATCTACGAAATGATTGTGTCAAGAATCTACTGGCTTTCCCCACCGCCAGACATAGCCAAGAAGGTGACAATGAGGAAAACCCACCAGTATCTAGATACGTGTTAGACCATTCAGCCTGGACGACTCAAGAGGTGGTGGGGGCGGAAAGCGATAGTCAGTGGGATGACCTACTTTTGGAAGATGGTTTTCTCGACGACTTCCTCCGCATTCTTGCCATCCGGACCAAGCACAATAGGCTGATTGAGATGTGGGCGTGGACCCGCTTGACTAGACAACAGCTCCAGCTTTGGGCTTACTGGCGTAGAAGGAGAAGAAGTTGATGAGGTGGACGGCAGCAAGTCAACGTAGTAAATATTGTTGGATGGGCCGACGTGAAGCCGAATTGTTGGCCTGTCGTTCTCACTCCCTATAAGGGAGGACCGTGAGGCGAGGGTCCCTACCCATTGTTTGGTGTTGGTAGACGTAGAGGTGTATAAGCCCAGGCGGATCAAGTCATTGGATACATCCTGCGGTTCGTTGTCACCGCACGCTGCAGCGATATTCGTTGATGAAAAGGTGAACTCCGGTTGCAAGGTGGTCGAATCGTAGGAGACGTGAGCCAGGACGGACGGTTCGGGAGAAGCTACAGGCCAGCATAGGATCTCGGCTGACTGTGGTTGAGAGGATGAGGAGATGGCTGCGGAGAGGGAGAATAGGGAGAGCGCAGGAAGGAGATTAAAGTAGGAGGACCGCATGATTCCTGAGCTGCAGATAAACAGTTGCTTGATCAGTTGAGGCGAGGTTTTAAGTTTGGAGGGGAGGACGTTGTTTGAGACAAGTTGAAGAAGAAAACCGAAAGTCGAAAGGCGGGAAGGTTTGGAACCAGCTTAGCTTTACTGCCAGCATCTAGATTATCCAAGCTCCGGAGGGCAGCGACCGGTGGAATGTTTGACTAGCGCGGAGAGTTACCCGCTAAATTACTAAGTACTAGTATTGGTTTGCATTCTGCAATGCATGGATTTGATTTGAGTTCCCCGCATACTCTCATCATACACAGAATAATATATAACTACAGATCGAGCGTCCTATAGACTGATATATTTTCTTCCCCTTGAATACTGTAGGTATATCCACTGGCAGCTATTCACAAATGGTTTTTTTTATTTACCTCCCATCCCCGCAGGAAAATAAACAGGAAGAGGAGGAGGGAAGTGGGTCGGTCATAAGTACATAGTTCAATCATACTCCTCAGGTACTTTTATGAAGGTGGGGGGAGCTCCCAGAATGATCTCTACCGGATGAATAAGTAAATCCATGGAGTTTGAACCAGTGCACCTAATCGACTATTTTTTCCTCTTTTGATTGCTGCTTGTCCCCTTCTCTTCTTTCCTTCATCCCGAAGGTGCCTAACAAAGTCAATCAGGTAATCAGGTGTAAGTGTCTAAGTCTGTGTCACCCCAAGCAATCAATTGGCTGCAGTACCCATCAATCGCACAGAATCCTCCCCCCCTCCCTTCCAGTTCTTTTCTATTGCCTGTCTCTCCACAGCTGCCGTGCTCATTTTCATGCCCCATTATCGTTCAGATATAGGCCTTTCCCCGCTCGATCCCAGTGTCTCCCGCCGTTCCAAATCCTAACTCCATGGCTTCTATTACTCAGATGCCTTATCGACGACCCTCTCGGCAGGGTTCTAGGCAGGCGTCGATAGATACGCGGGATGAGATACAGGTCCGCGTAGACCACTATATTGGAATTGATGTTGGGACTGGCAGTGCCCGCGCTTGTATAATCGATAGCAAAGGCGATATTGTCGGCCTAGCCACTGAGAACATCGGTCTTTGGCAACCTCAACAAGGATATTATGTACGTATTGATGCCCAACCTTTATCTTGCCTGGTCACTATCGTAAGGGTATGTGTGGCCTCCGATTGACCCTCCTGTCATTCAGGAACAATCTACGAACGATATCTGGCGATGCATCTGTGTAGCTGTTCAGCGCGCAATCAGCCAGCACAACATTGACCCAGAGACCGTGAGGGGCATTGGGTTCGATGCGACATGCTCGTTGTCGGTTTTTTCTAATGTGACGAACGAACCGATATCCGTGACGGGTCCCAACTTCAACTCGGACCGCAATGTGATCCTCTGGCTCGACCATCGCCCAGTGGAGGAAACCGAAAGAATCAATGCCACGAACCACAATCTGCTCCGCTATGTGGGCGGAAAGATGTCCATCGAGATGGAGATCCCTAAAGTCCTGTGGCTGAAAAACCATATGCCAAAAGAGCTCTTTGACCAGTGCAAATTCTTTGACCTGGCTGATGCCCTGACTTACATTGCCACCGGCGCCGAGCAGAGAAGCTTCTGTAGTGTAGTCTGCAAGCAGGGATATGTTCCCGTCGGGGTGGACGGGAGCGTAAAAGGTTGGCAGGAAGACTTTTTGGAGGAGATTGGTCTGAAGGACCTGTCAGAGGATGACTTTAAGCGAATGGGCGGTGTCGACGGGGTGGTGAGCCTTTTTCTTTGATGATCCTATCAACCACACGTCTTACCCTTCATCCACATCCTACCTGCCAATGAGTTTGACGGCTAACTGATGCTTCAGAATGGCAACTATCTTAGCGCTGGTGAATTGGTTGGCACATTGTGTGACAGAGCTGCCTCAGAGCTGGGTCTGCCCCCGGGGATTGCAATCGGCAGCGGCGTTATCGATGCCTATGCAGGTTGGATTGGCACCGTCGGCGCTAAGGTTGATCTTGAGTCGGAACAGCTGAGCTCTGACGTCGCCAAGAACGATAAAGCGCAGGCATTCTCTCGATTGGCCGCCGTCGCTGGAACATCGACCTGCCATCTTGCGATGTCCCCAGATCCAGTCTTTGTTCCTGGTGTCTGGGGGCCTTACCGCGATACTATTCAACCTGGATATTGGATGGCTGAGGGTGGCCAGTCCGCAACCGGGGAGCTGCTCAAGCATGTTATCGAGACCCACCCCGCGTTCAATCAGGCACTCTCGATCGCCGAGTCGTACAACGCCAATATATATGAGTATCTGAACGAGCATCTTAGAGAAATGGTTCATGACCAGAAGGCTCCTAGTATCTCTTATCTAGGCCGACACGTTTTCTTCTATGGCGATCTTTGGGGCAACCGTTCCCCCATTGCAGACTCTGCAATGACAGGTTCTCTGATTGGGATGACGAGTGACAAGTCTGTGGATGGCCTCGCCATTCATTACTATGCCACGCTCGAATTTATCGCGCTACAAACCAGGCAAATTGTGGAGACAATGAACAAAGCAGGTCATAGCCTCGCCTCCATTTTCATGTCGGGCTCTCAGTGCCAAAATGACATCTTGGTAAAACTGATAGCATCTGCCTGTGACATGCCTGTGCTTATACCTCGCTATATTCATGCTGCTGTTTGCCATGGTGCAGCCATGCTGGGTGCCAAAGCCGCTAGTGCTGACGCAGAAGGCAAGACAGAAGATCTATGGTCTATCATGGACCGCATGAGCAAACCGGGAAAGAAAGTCGTCCCAACTACGGATAAGACGGAGAAGGCCTTGCTTGACGCCAAATACAAGGTCTTCCTGGAGCAATGTTACAAGCAGCAGGAGTACCGAGCTCTCGTAGACCAAGCCGTCGCCTCCTGGAAGTCCTAACCTACTTTATCCACTCACCATTTTTCTTTCGCGTTGCGGAAAATTACAGTCCCTCTTCTTTTACTGAAGGATGCAGAGAGATCTTGACAAAACTTGCGGGCAATGTTACTAGCTAGCGTGCAAAGATAGCCGTACTTGTTACACGCATCTACCATAGAATATTACGCAAGACATGCAAGCAGACCATGAGTAACCGATTATGAAAGTCTAATTATACAACTTCAATAATGTGGCAGATATACATGTTCGAAAAGCCCCAACCAACACGCAAATGTTAAACAATTTCGGGCAATCTTGTCAGACTCTAAAACACGGGAGCAATGCACGCATAATCCGCAGCGAAAGTGTCTGCCTCAACCCTCGGGCGGACGGGTTTCCAGCCCTCACCAAGGATTTGACAGGCAGACACACAAATTAATCTACACTCAAAAAGCCCTTCCACTCCTGGACCTACCGATCGTGTAATACTTCTCAACTGGACTCGGACCAAGGGCCAGCGTATCGAAACGATCGACACCCATGGTCTCCAAGTTGCTGTAGCCAGAGAGATAGAATCCAATCACAACCACGAGGTACGTAAGAACGAGGATAGAGCCCTTAAAATAGTTGCTCTTTCCTTCGCCGTGCACGTAGGAGAGCAAAAAGACACAAAGGATTACGGACACCATGTCCCACTGCGGGAAGATAAGGCTGTAAGGGAAAGGTTGTTAGCAAGGTTTCTTGCTTCACACATTGTCTCTAAGGGACAAAAAGTACGGCATGATCAAACATACTTGAAGGTGTGGCTTAGTAGCTCAGAAGGGTCGATGACGCGGGCGTAGAGAGCACTGAATAGAACTAAAGCAGGAATCTGCAGAAGGCAGACCTGGAGAGCGTAGGCTGAACCAATCTCCATGGACAGCGCGATATTGCCGTTCATAGCAAACGAAATCGCGTTCTGTGGGCCAGATGAATAAGTTAATCTGATCTTGCTGGCAGCGGTTATTGAGGAATACATACCAGAAACTCTGTTGTGTTGGGGACCAAGGCAAAGAGCGTGATTCCAAGGAACTTTTCATCGATGTCGACACTTTCCAAGACCACGTCCACCGTGTTCACGAGGATTTCTGCGATGACAGCATAAAGAATAGTAGCACCCAGAAGTATTATAGAACTTCTCGTTTTACTCCAGTTGGGTGCATCATGACCGCCGCTAGTATGGCCAGGCTCCAACCCGATATCCTCGCTTTCCTCAAGCAAGGTCTTCACTTGATCTGCGGGACTTTTAGCCGCTTGACGCGTGCTTGCTTGCTGGGCCATGGGCTTCCTTGTTCGGGCCGCATCGCGAGCGGCAACAGCAGCAGCCGTTGCGGCAACCTCTGTCACCTGGCGCACAAGATCCTCATTGTCTTCATTGGACAGACCAGTGAAATTTCTCAATCTGGGGTTGCTATCGTCGCCTTCCGTCCGAGGGGGCACAAGGTATGGTGTTGTGCTCTTTCCTTGCAAAGAGGAGGTAGAGTCGGATTGGGCGTTATGATCATTGGGGTTTTCAGATAGTCCGACCTGCTTTAGCGACTGCCCCAGTATGCGCTTGTACAGTTGAGAATCCCGAACCGAGCCCTTGGTGATGGAACCACCAGTGCTCCCAGCCTGAATGTGAGGGAAATCGCCGTGTCTAGCTTCGTAGGCGGCTTGTTCGTTTGCAAGAGCTACAGCCTTCTTCTCCTCTACTTCTGTCGCCCAGATGAGAGCAGCATGGGTCCTCAGCGTGAACCATAACCCGATGACATAGGATAGGAACAAGAATATAGCAGCGAACCACGAATATGGCTGGACGGCCTTCCGGAAAAAGCTGTCATTCACGGCCGGCGTCTGCGAAAAGTAACAGCGACGACAATCGCTGTCCTCTGTTCCTACAGTGGTAACGCATAAGCGGCAGTTGAGCTCATGCTAAAAACCAGGTTGTCAGCGAAATTGCTAGATGGACAATCACACAGCAGGCAGTGACACTTACGCTGCCATATATCTGGTAAAAGAGCGTGGGTCCGAATGCAGCAATAACCGCAAACATCAGCATTGTCGACGTGACGCCCGCAGACTTCACATTGAACCGCTGGGTCTTGCGCTTGATAGCGCCAAAGCACATGGAAAGTCCCGGAAGAAATAGGATACCTGCAAAGATGCTACCGATAATGCTGCCCTCAACAAGTTGCCCTTTGCCTTCGGTTAAAGCAACACAGTAAAGATAGACTTCAACTACGGTCGAGAAGAAGGCATTCACAGCTGCACCCATGCCCATGGAGGATTGAGCGGAAATCGATGCAACGGCCTGTCCAATGAAATAGGCCAAGGGAATGATGGAGACAAGCGCAAGGGTGAATATAAGACCTGGGTGCGTGATGGCAGATTGGAGGCCCAGTGTCTCGCTGAGAAGAAAGTAGTCAAAGATGACAAATAATACGACACCAAGAAGGTTGATCAAAAAAATGTTGGTCCCGCCGACAGTATACTTCCAATATCTCAATCCTGCTGCACGATAGGTGCATAACAGGACGGATGAGGAGGACCCGGGACTGAGTCTGGTGTAGGTGGTGTCGGAATGGTACGACAGAGCCAAGGGGTGACGACGAAGGTGATCAAAAAGGATAATGGTCACACGTCCCATGGGAATCCAGAAGACCAATAACCAGCAAAGTAGCGAGACTAGAAGCATTAGAGGCCCTACGAGAAAGTAGAAAAAGACGAAGAATACGACGCGGCCAAGCGTCCACTCGCCACGACCGAATAGGCGCCGCTTAGGATGGCTAAGGGGACTCTCTCGAGGGCTGCCCCTTTGCGTTCGCCCTAGAAGACTATCTTGTTCGCTGGCCGAGTCGACACTGTTTCTTCTTCTCCCGACCAGTGACCGATCGCGTCGAGGTCCGAAGAACAGCCGGCCATGCTCTAAGTCGCCATTCTGCCATTGTTCGTACTCACTAATGCTGCGGCCTTCGCCCTCGTCTTCTTCTGCGTAATTTTCGTCCGTGTCCAGACGGACGAAGGAGCCAAATGGATATATCAAGTACCACGAAAGTCCCGAGAAAACCCTCCCATATTCTAGTGCGCTGGGTGAATATGCGAAGACGAAACAAGCGACAGCACCTGTAAGCGCAGCCAGGGCTAACCACCAACCAAAAAATACTGTCCACAGAAGGTTAGTCAAGAACAACAAGTTGCCCACGCGACCGCCAGGCGACGAATGGATATCGCCTTCGGCGGTCTTTTCTACCGAACGGCTCTTTTTGTACAAGGCAGGTTTCCAGAGCCTTATCCCAAAAGGGTGAGTCTCGTTGATGGCCTGCTGGCGATCCTTCAGCGTGAAGCTTTCGGCATCACTAGTCTCTGCTTCATCTTCATCATTGTTATCGTTACTATCAGGGCTCCCACTCTCCGACTGTTCAGCCGAAGGCTCTAATTCCGTACCCGGATCAGGCAGGCCAATCACTTCTTCGCTCTCGTTTTCGGTTTCCGGTTGAATCAATGGGCTGTTCATGCGGGCATTGAGTCTTCGTCGCAGAGTCGAGCTCTGTTTTCTCAAGGGACGTATCCTAGGCGATGACTGGGGATTGGACGCGTGTTGCAGAGCTATATCCTCCTCTACTTCTTGTACATCATCCTCCGTAGAAAATTCCTGCCCCTTGTGAGGTACCTGTCGCTTAGAAGACATACGGCGGGTTACAGATGGTTTTCTCGGTCTGTCGGGCTGCAGCGGGGGGGTGGAAGTCGACTGAGAGGTAGGCATGCGACTCGAGCTTTCTGGCTGGTTCTCTTCCAGACGGGGATCAAGGTCCATCCTTGCGGGAGAATCCAAGGTCCCTACAGGAGAAATTAGTCTTTTGGATCAAAACGGGGCAAAGAAGCGAGAGAGCGCACCATAATTCCGCCTGGAAGGTGTCGCATTCCTCTGCTGACGGTAAGCTCCAGATGACATATCCTCGTTATCGACGTTTGACGATGAGTCGGCGGGATCGATGGGATGAGAAGGACCCTGACCCTCCCTTTCGTCGTTGTTTGACATGGTTGGTCAGTTTGTTTCGAGACTCGATTTTCTTAGCAACTTTTTTTTTTTTTTACCAGCCCCCTTTGACCGTCTTTGTGATGATCTTGGAAAAACAGGGAGGCTGGGGGATGCCAGGAAAAGGATAGTTCGAGAAACACTAGTAAAAGAGAGTGGCCTGCACTTGAAACAGAAACGGAGATATCTTTCTTTTAACATGAACCAAAAAGCAACTAAGTTACATGTTGGAGTAAGCCCAAGAAAAAAAAACAATCCGGGACGGACAGAAAGCGAGAGGGTAGAGAAGCAGGCGCGAAATGAGAAAAGCAGCTAGCTAGTTAGTGAGATCATGAGATAAGGTCTCACTCGCATCCCCGCAGTCAGCTGAGACCGTAGATATGCAGGTCACAGACGCGACCAAGAAGGATTGCACAATTTCAAAGACGAGTCCAGCAATAGTATTCGAGTTGGATGCCGAAAGATTGACCTGGGTAGGCTGTGGGTTGAAGCTGATCAACATTTGACTGGAGAACATGTGGATGTGTATCTACTGCGTACCACAGCGCTGACCAGCTACGTAATGCGTGTACCCCCCTCGTTACGTACAGTACATACATTCACCATACGAAATATGGGATCCCATCATATCTGCCTGAATGACCCCATTCTATTGCTTTGCTTTCACGCTGTTGTGCCGCTATTCTTGACTGTATGATGGGCCTAACTCCAGCGTGACTGTTGTTAACATGTGTGTTTGGAATGGTGTCATATTATTCTAACAGTCCTGGTTGGGTGGCTTACCCACCCACTCTACTAGGTAACCAGAGAGTATTACATCACATGACCTGTTGCACTAGCCTCAGCCCTTGTGGCTGGTGTCTGTCCGAAGCGCTCTGCTGATATCAGCTAGTAGTAGCCTACTTCGGGTTACCTCACCTAAACTAACAGCTAACTGCGGTACCTATCCCGCAAGAGCTCTCTCGACCCAGCTACCATAACCACGCCTTTCATCACCTTCACTGTGTCTCACAGTTCCACTGTTTTCTTCCGATTTCTCTGATCCGATTCAAAAAGGACTCTTTTGGTTCCTGAGATTGCCCCCAAGTCAAATAGATCGCCGACGTCCAGTTCTTTGTGATTCACGCCTCGCTGTGGCCGTATCTAGGAGCGTCATACCTGGCTGTCCATCATGGCGCTCGACAACTATTATCGCAACAAGATTGAGAGCATGAAGCTCGAAATCATTCAGGGTCAGGCTGTCTTACGGAGACTGGAAGCACAGCGCAATGACTATAATTCGAGGGTGCGGTTACTTCGGGAAGAGCTCGGCCTGCTTCAACAGCCTGGATCCTATGTCGGGGAGGTAGTCAAAGTGATGAGCACCAAGAAAGTCCTCGTCAAAGTGCATCCCGAGGGCAAATATGGTAAATACCCTCTGCAAATTTGCTGCTCGAGTCTTTGCTTGCTCAACTCCGTGCGTCTCTTACTAACTTCTCTTGCGACGCTATAGTGGTGGACATTGCGGATGGCGTTGATATCAGCAAGCTCACTGTAGGAAAGAGGGTCGCTTTGCTCTCGGATTCCTATAAGTTGGAGAAGATGCTACCCTCGTCGGTTGACCCGCTGGTGTCGCTAATGATGGTCGAGAAGGTGCCTGACAGCACGTATGACATGATTGGTGGACTCGACCAGCAGATCAAGGAAATCAAGGAAGTCATCGAGCTTGGCTTAAAACATCCGGAGTTGTTCGAGTCGCTTGGTATCGCACAGCCAAAGGGAGTACTTCTCTACGGACCTCCAGGAACCGGCAAAACCCTGCTTGCCCGAGCGGTAGCCCATCACACCGATTGTCGGTTTATCAGAGTGAGCGGATCGGAATTGGTGCAAAAATACATCGGTGAAGGTAGCCGCATGGTTCGCGAGCTATTCGTAATGGCTCGAGAGCATGCTCCCAGTATCATATTCATGGATGAGATCGACAGCATTGGATCCAGCCGCATAGACTCGGCGGGTTCGGGTGATTCAGAGGTACAGCGGACGATGCTTGAGCTTCTCAATCAATTGGACGGATTTGAGCCTACCAAGAACATCAAGATCATCATGGCCACCAACCGGCTTGACATCCTGGACCCGGCCTTGTTACGTCCTGGCCGGATTGACCGGAAGATTGAGTTCCCCCCGCCGTCGTGAGTATTCCTTGTGACTTGGCTCTTGTCAGGTGAAGATTATGTTACGGTTTGCTAATCGATTTCCGTCTTACAGGGTGGAAGCACGTGCCGATATTTTGCGAATCCACTCGCGGTCGATGAACTTGACGCGAGGCATCAACCTAACGAAGATTGCGGAGAAGATGAACGGCTGTTCTGGAGCTGAACTGAAGGGTGTGTGCACGGAAGCAGGCATGTACGCTCTGCGAGAGCGGCGAGTACATGTTACTCAGGAGGATTTCGACCTAGCCACCGCCAAGATCCTCAACAAGCACGACGACAAAGAAGTCGCGGTCTCCAAGCTTTTCAAGTAAAGAAGGGTTGGCGTGTGAATAGTACCAGATTACTACAGCAAGAACTATTGGCATTTATTTTCGATGTTCTCTGATGGCCGCCTCGCCGACATCGCCACATATGTATTCCAATCATAACACCCACACATAATTCTTCCCCGTGTCCCTGTTGAAGAACGGGTATGTTTGTGTGTGACGTTGAGGTCTAAGATGGGCCTCCCTGTGCTCATACAGTATCGTAATCGGGGGTTTGTTAGCGGTCGGGTGGACGCGAAGAATAAGTCTCGGATCTGGCTGTACTACTAGGCATAAGTACACCCTTGTGATTTGTGACTGAATAATTGGTTGACATACGGCCCATCATTAAGAGTCCGGAAGAGTAAGTAAGGCGTAGCAAACCAATGAAGTGCGTCTTTCATTGGATGCTCAGGAGATGATCATCTCGTCATCTACTTCACATAGTCAGGCATGGCCTACTTCGTAGTACTTGGGCAATACTTACTGCGTGATTACCTTATCTATTTGGTCTTAAGTCTGGCATTGTCTACTGGCGGATGAATGGATGAACTACATGATGCTTCGATGGTCGTGTCATAGATCTTATTCATGCCCAATATCTTGCCTAACCCGGGGAGATGTGCCACAATCGCCTCCCCTTTCCCCGGATGCTTGTATGACGTATGCCGTATGGAAAGGAAGCTTTTAATGGGGAGACTGCAGCGCCATGTTTCTTCAAGACCGATCAGGGGAGGGTGAAGTCTTAGTGAAATGTTATCAAGGTCAAGGCACATGCACGGTGGCTGCTTACCTGCCTCTTTACGTGATTGCAAGAGTTTCTTTTTGGGCTTATAAGGGAAGTACAGATCAGCTAGTGAGTAAGTACTAGTACTGTGTGCTGCAGTGATCGACAAGATGGTAGCAAGTGAGCTCAACTGACCGCCAAGAGTCCACTACTGACTGTATAGTACACTTATGTACTAGATTGATATGTACTATGCTATGCCGAAGTCTACCTACTCTTTGTCTGTCCATCGCCAGGAATCTTGTGCAACACCAGGCTTGGCAGAGGGATGGGCAACATGGATTCGGCGACAGCCAAGCCGCCAAGATGGACCTGGAATAAGTAGGGTTTGCAGGGGAGGAAGTTTGACTGCGAGGTGATAGGCAGATATAGTAAAATTCTTGTGAGACACGTATATCTGAATTAGCCTGTACAATGGAATAACCCCCCCATAAACATACTTCGGCATGTACGGTGTGCAGCTGCAAGGCTAGGAAGGTTTCGCCAATTTTACCACATCTTACTTTCAAGCTCCGCGTGATCAATTAGTATGAAAGTATGAAAGGTAAAAATCTTAAGGTGACTCTGGGGGTTTATAGGATGACGTCTGGGGTAGCTTGGGTCAGGCCATAGTACTGCACAGGAGGAGATGGCATGACATGTTATTTTGTTGCTTGTGTTGGCAGTGGATCGCCAGCATCTATGCGGAGAAAGCATGAGCAGGTCACCGCCTACTATACATCAAGATAATACTTACTACTGGTTACTTGAAAAGATACTTTCAAGGAACTTCGCCATTCATTTACTTGGGAAGTTGGGACTGTGGATAATGTAAATAGATATGTTCCATGTAACGGACTACTGTAGAGACTCGCTCGGCGTTAAAGCAGGGCCCATAACGCCTAATTGTATTCTCATCCCTAGCATCGTCTGGACGTCCGGAGCACAAAGTCCGAAACTCAGGTACGGAGTAATGATAGGCTTCATAGCGGCTTTCCAGAATCCCGACTGGCCGGTTGATCTCCGGTTGACGCGTCGAGAGGAAGAACTTTGACGTGCGCGTGACCAGCGGGTCCTTGTCTTAATAATCAACTTTTGTGCTGCAGTCTCTTGGGATGGGGATGAAGTATTACTACTCCATACAGTAAAATAACTACGGTCAGGAAGTACTCCGCGGATTACTGAGTACTAGTATTGTTTTGTTGAATGGAAAATGCTCAGGGTCTCGGCTCAAGTGGGGCAGTCCAGATCTGATGACCTTCCCAGAAGGTGGATCACTTTTCCTTTTACCCTCCCCCCTTTCTTTCTGAATGGTTATGGACTAACAGTTAGGTCTCCATTTTTCCACTCCATAATAGACAGTCTCGTACGAGAAACCGGGAGATGCAATGGGGTGGAATTAATGGAACTACTGGGGGAAGCGGGGAGGATTTCTACTATTGGATGATTAGGATGGCACAGGTCGCTGTACTTTCCCAAATTTATCTACACAGTACTACTTTATCTTTGGTATTTTCATTATACTCTTTCTTCCCCCAATTTTTCTTTCCACTATAGTAGTGCTTCTACCTGGTAGTAGAGTACTAGTCATTCCATGGTATTCTAGATAAGATGAAGACTCTAGGAGAAATTATTTCCATCTGCCCTAAATTTCTCCCTCGTCTCCCCACGGAATTCAACCCATCTGGGACAAGGCAGCTCAAATAGGTAATCTGCCAGGACGCCGGCCTCGGCAGCCATGCATTGGTCACCGTCCATCTTTTTTATTCTTTGCCAGATCATCATCATCCAGCCTAAACTTTAGAGCCCTGTCTTAGCTATTCTATTTCTGATTCAATATTATTATTCACTATCTTACTTAATTTCTCTGTTATCTCTTCCAATAAGAGAGAGTTGTCCGTTTTTATGTCATTACCTTGTTATCCGACTTATGTTGGGGTATGCTTATCGGCTTTCATTTTCCGTCACCATTTCTGGTTTACTATGTAGTCTATCTAGTACTACTACCTTATCCGACTTGAACTTTCTCACCCCCTGTCCTCTTTTTTCCTTTTTTACTTAACTGATAATCGGAGGAAAAGAGGGCTTGGCTGGACAGGAGGCAAGATGCATTCTCCATCCGGATAAGATGGTCCGTCCTTCAAAACCCCCAATCACACCGATGCTACCACCCCCCTTCTTAGATAGCAGATAGTAGTAGGTAGTACTAGTAGTTCTACAGCGTGGTACAGTAGTAAGTTGGTGACTGGCTAATGGCTAATGCATAATCTACTAAGTACGTACGTAGTAGTAGTTAGCTGTTCTCAATCTTTCCCAATTACCCAACTCTTAGTATCCCCTTCCCCCCGGGGGGAAGAAAAAAGGTGTGGGCCTATCCTTTCGGTCCGTCTGGAGTCATGCATGGTCTGGCTAGTTAGGTGATCTCTGGCTGCTTCTTCTGCTCCTTCTTCCTCTTCTTTGCCTTTGCCTTCCTTCCCCCCTCTCACCCCCAACCTGCGACCCACCCTGGCGGATTGGATGAATGCTTGGCCCGTCTGATGATCTGTCCGGAGTACCGAGTACAACCTGCAGCTCCCATCTATCTATTCATTCTCTCAGGCCCATCCGAAGTAGATCACTGGCTCGGCTCGCATGGTAAACCTCCCCCCATGTAGGTCGCTGCTGAGGTGAGGATCTTGCCATCCTCTCGCCTTCTTGCCCGTTGTCCGTTTCAAGTGGTTGCATGAATTTAGTCTGCTCTATCCTCTTGGGTTCCCACACCGGCTTCCTTCTTTTGGCTCTCTCTTCATTGCCGTCTGTGTTGTTCCTTTAATTTTCTTTTACCTTTTCTTTTCTTTTCTTTTCTTTTTTTTTTTTTTCTTTTTCGCTATATAAGAATAAGTATTTAACTGCCTCCTCCCCAGCTACTGTTGTCAACGAGGTTTCCTTTTATTCCCAAACCTTCTTGCCTACAGGCTCGTATGCACCCCTATCTACGGCTCTTTATCTTCCCTCCCTTCCCCGTATTTGAAAATAAGCTCTTGAGGCACCCCCCCCCCAAATTCCACCGGCATTCTAGAAGCCATCTTTCCTCCCCTTGAAGCCTTCCTCCTGCCTACTGGTCCTTTCACCCCGATAGGGTCCCACGGACACGCTTGTTCAGTCACTTCCATTGTCTACTGGGTAGGTAATATTTCGTTGTTCGTGCTTGTTTCAATATCCGCGAACTAGTAACAGAGAACACTCATACTTCATCCTATCGTGATGCAGCATACAAATTGACTGTCCTGCGCAAATCGGCCCGACCAGCCCGTCAGAGGAGAAAGAAGTACTATATACATCCAAGCATTATATAGCACTTCTAGATCCTATTATTAGCCACCCTGCCCAACTACCCAACCAGCTGGCCTGAGTGGTGCAGATTGCGCACGAACAACTTCCTGATCGTCGTCCACTAGTCCGGTGATCTCATTCTTGTCGCATTGCCACTCTTCCTTTCGCTGCCCCCCGTGACACTTCTTCTTTTGGCGCCCAGAGCCTCTGTATAACTCCCTAGTATGTCCAGCGGTGAGCTATGGTCCACTTTAGTCACCGCAATCGATCCCGGTAGTACCAAAGCCATGCCCATCATCCTTCAATCGACCATCGATCTTCTGGAGACAGAACTAGCCAAGGCTAGAGCGGCGCTCCATGAGATCCAACCTACGGCATCCTCTTTATTTACGAAGCGAGATGAGCTCGCTTTGGGTGCCGTGGCAGCATATCGTCAAAATCTCATCGACCGTGCGCCGGACTTTTTCTACGGCGCGAGTCGGTTGACCCCCAAGGAGCTGGGACTTGTCCCGGCTGTCCACGAAGTACAGGCGGACGATGATGAAGATGATCATGTAAAGACCGCGTCCAAGCAACACCTTCGGCCTGTCCAGCCGATTGCGCCCAAGCGCGCTTCTTTGGCCGATGTCTTATCCAACAGTCTAATCCTCGACCATATGGCCCCATATCTGTCAACCTCCTCATTGTTGGCTCTAGCATCTACTTCCCGCCAGGTTCGGTCATCGATAGTGGACACTCCCTACATTTTCCGCCACCTTGATCTGACCCAATGCCGTGGTGCAAAACCAGCCAGCACATCTACGACAGACTCGGCAGAGCAAGTATGGAGTGGTGAGCAAGGGGAAGACTCCGTAGTCGAGGATGAAGTTCATTCTGCGCCTCTGAGGGGCATCTTTGCTAGTCTCCAAAGGCAGTCGATCCTGCAGGACGTGCGCACATTGGTTCTGGATGGACTGTCCGTTCCAGCGGATTTGCTTGCGGAAATTGTCCTCACAGATCGCTTCAACGTCAACATTCTATCTATAAGGGAGTGCCGCCATCTCAAT